TTTTTTTTTTTTTTTTGCCTCTCAATTATATCCGTATAATTTGGGCGACCTGATGTGTTTCCTTTGCCTTTTCCTTTTCCGGGATTGATTCCCTGGTCCAGCGATTATTCGAACATACTCGAAGGTTCTTACCTACTATCGTGCCATTGGAGCCAGGAAGGCTATTCTTATAGACTGCTTTGCGAGCACCATGATGCAATCAGGAAATGGAGGATAGAATGGCACGGAGCTTTTTTGCGTGTTCAAAATTTCTCGTTTATTGGGCATTTTCCTTTTTGGCGTGACATAGTGTCCTATTTAGAATTCTTGATCTGTTATTGACGCTGGAGCGTCAATAAGGTCGTGAGCATCGTCTTTCTTTATCTCTCACCCGGCTTTTTCCTTTTGGGATTCTTGTAAGTACTTCCAGGAGCTGATGTCTACTGTTTGTTCTATTGTTTATGGTTGGAGGACGGCTCGGAGTTGAAGTTTTTATTCTGGTTTACCGGTACTATATTTCTCTTAGGTGCATCATAATTCAAAGTTCAGCATGAATTTTCAATTTCAATTCATCCAGTATTCTAAATTGATTATATATACATTGAATGGTATGGCATTCTGATGCACTGTTCATTCCGTAAGTTGGGCAGGATTGCCGTTGGCGTTAAATATTGAGAACATGAGGCAGCGAAGTCATCTTGAGATAAAGGGCCCTGAAGCTCAAACCATGATAACCTCTGGGCATCCATGTGGGAGCTGGATTTCTATGGGTCCGCTTCATATGGAGTACCCTCAGTCTAGAGACCATGTTCGAATATGTCATGCTAGCCATAATGGCTAGGACGCCCTGTATCTGGTGCACCAGCAACGATGTTGGATACCAACACAGTTTATGCTAGAGGTATCATGGAAACCCTCTCATCAGAATCTGTTCCAATAGACCCCAATTTGAAGATATAGCGTTTGCGTAACTGAAGCCAGTAGTACAGCGTACCTTGTAAAAAAAAAAAAGCTCCTCGTAAATGGAAGTGCACCGTAACTACCTGACGTAAACTTCGTCAAACCTTGCAGAATCACATCCTTCGGAAAGTGTTGCCGGAGGCACTGCGTCTCTCCTTCGCCTTGAAGCTTGTATCCCGAGATGGTGCCGGGGCCTTGTTCTGTTTCGACTTGACATGGGGTGTAAATGTCACCTCTCTCTCGCCAACGACGCCGCCACGACGCGATGGCCTCTCCTTAGTCCGCATATTCTGAGCCCTAGAGCCAAACGAACGGTCGCGAGTAGAGTTGGCGGCAGATGAAGAAGAAACTTGCATTCGGGGCTGCTGAGACCGGTTGGTACGTTTATAGGAGGAAGTCGAGATCTTTCCGGAAGACTTCTCCTTGACAGGACGTTCTGCTTCTCTCTCAGAGTCTGAATCATCGGAGCTGGAGCCGGGCACTTCGTCGATTTCCTCTTGTTCAACGGCCGTAAGACCTCTTTCCTTTCTCTCTGGGACGTCTGTGACAGTGCTAGGGTTGAGAAGCCTGAACTCATGCGATGCCTCGTCGACGGCGAAGTCTTCATCCTCGAACAACTTGGCGAAACGACTATCGCCCAGTAGACCTTGGCCGGGTTTCTCTGCTGCAGGCGCAGATGCAGGTACGTCGACCATATCCTCATCACCGCCCTTCTGCAGTACACGCTGCGCCCTCTTACGTTCATTCTTCTCCTCAATCGCCATAAGTCTGTCGGCCAGCTTCTTGTTGACCTTGACGGCAGCCTTCTTCTTGCCCCGGATTCTGCTCTCGCGCTCCTTGTCAATCTTCTCCTTGACTCTCTTTGCACGTTCCTCTTCCCAGACGTAGGGGTTCGTGATCAAACGAGCCTCTTCATACAAGCGTTGTGCCACAAAGTAACCGTGCATGTAAGGGCGCAGGAGATTGGTCCGGCCAATCAAGTGCTCCAAGTTCAAAGTGCGCAGTTGAGGAACGGTCAAGAACTTGTAGTTGTCGTACACAGAGCTTGCCTGCCCGCTGCTGAATGCGTTAGGATCATTAGGATCTTCAGCCATTTCCTCAACAAGGTTGTCTAAGAAGGAACACCACTTCGGCGCGGGTCCAAGCTGAGGAATGAAAAATGCATGCTGCTGGCGTCCTTCGTTGGCAGTCAAAATCATTCCGCTATCCTTGCACCAAGCAACCGAGTTGATGTCGACAGCAGGCTCCACAGACGTCCAAGGACTGCCGTCCCGAGGGTCCCAAATCTTAATGATCTTTTTGTCGGAAGAGAGGATCTTAGGCTCCATTGTCTGTTCACGTGTCAAGGAGGAAGGCTGCAAGAACTTAAGTGTGTGAACGGGGAATCCATATCCTTGGTCTTTTTTGAGTAGGGGAACTGGCGAACGAAGATCGTACAGGTGAATAAGCCCGTTGGAGGAACCCGTACCGAGGGTCAAACCTGAACGGTGGAACTCTAATGCTGTGATCTCATGGCGGCCTTCATCAGGGACTGATTGTGTGGGCGGTAGCAAGATTCCTGCCCTGCCTTTCGCTCTTGGATCCCAGAGTTCCACCGTACCTAACGTGGTACCGAAGGCAAGCAGATTGTGGCTTTCCTCCGCAATAGCTCCCGTGTTGACAGCACCTGTATTGATACCACCTTGCAGCGTTCCTCCACCAGCGGATGTGAAGTCGTCACCACCTACATCAATCTCGAAACTCCGCATGTACCGACCCATCTCCAAGTTAAGTCGAAAGACCTCACCCATGCCATCTTGGTTGACGCCAACAGAAGGGATTAATGCTTCAGTAGATTGTCTATCGTAAACTAGATCACGGCCATATCTGGGAAGTCTTGTTGTGTAATGGCACCCTGCAGGTGTGTGAAACTGGAGCGAGCGATCGGACTGTAAGTGGAGAGATTTGGAGTAGTCGGAGGAGAGAAGGAGGAATGTGGTGTTTAGCGCATCTGTGTGGCGAGCCCATGAGAGAGACAACTGTGGAAGATGGTGTGTATGAATCTGAGGCTTATAGGTTCCTAATGTTCTTATCGTCAGTCGCATGCAAAAAGTCCAAGTCGCGTTACTCAAAGTGCAAGATCTAACCTGTGCTCATAACCCATTCACCATCTTCGCTGACTCTTACACATTGACTAGCTTCTTCGAACTCGAAATCTTGTAGGAGTTCAACCCGATTCGCATACTCCGGGTCATTTTTAAGACTGCGCTTTCTCCGTCTCGCAAGCCATTCAGGAAGTGGTCGTGCAGTGTTCGATCCAGAGATTGTATAAACTGGCACCTCTGACTGATTCGAAAGCTTCATCTTTGCGCAGTGTTGCTCTTTGAGCGAGAAAGAGCCTGGCGTTGCTGCGACTGGTAAAGCTCCGACTCAATAAAAAAAAAAAAAAGCCTTCGATGATAGCGATAGCAGGACCCACGTGACCCAGCGGGTGTCGATCATTGATGATTGGTTCACGCGGTCCGGACGAACCTCCGTCGGGTTTCATGGCGTCGGAGGCCTGGATTGAAACAGCGACTTGCGACATTCTATATCTTGAACGCCATCCGTTATCAGAATCTCTTATGTTCGCGCCTCTATCATGTTCGCTTCATTTTGATATATACGCCAACTTCATTATTGGTATAGCATTTGCGACCCTTCCCTGCGGAGCGATGGCGCCAGGGAGCCGATCTATTTGCTAACTTCTTCGATAAGTTAACTCCATGGGCTATGGGTTGCTTCTTGGGATATAGTTTGCTTTCCAGACACACCTGGAGATGATCCCTATTATTCTTTTAAAGGCTTTTTTGGCTATCTATGAGTATTGCCAGGATCTGCCTCGGAGCAATCTTTAAATCATGGACTTTCCCGGAGGGTCCGTTACAAATATACGCGTCCTTGTAGGTTAATTTGTACTCGGGTTTCAAGTAAGTTTCTAATCTGAGAATCTAGGATGGATTCTCCAATATCTACTGGAGAATATATACGGAAGATCCCAACATTACAAATCTTCCAGGCGAGGCTCCAGCCAACGGTTTCACCATTCTTAAGCATTTAAGTCGCCTCAAGGACTTAGAGCTTCGATTGAGGAGCTCGGACTGCTTAGTCTCGAGCTACCCTAGGCGCCTTGGCTTATGGGTATTTTCTGCGACTCCAGAATTTGAGTCTGTGAGCTCTTTGCGGTCAGATGAAAGTAAAGGCGAGCAAAGCAGACTGGTTGTTGGCTCATCGACGTTAAAAGGTTTGCGCCCAACTATCCGTTGAATTTCTTCGATACATTGTACATTGACCGTGTAACGATAGTCTCTGCGTCTGGAAGTGTTACGCCTCGCGAACTAGTTAAGAATCTCTCGACAGATCCTCAGACCGCAGGGGGTTCAACCGGGTCGCAACGACCACAGGTTACTCCCACACCCACGAGACGTGTTGATAGCTATAGTAGCTCTGTTGCAATCTACGCAGCTTTTATTTCAGCCATAACCGGCTCACTAAACCTTCAACTGATCCGTCGCAGTAGTGCGATCCCTCTAGGGTCACGGACGCTCTTCACTGTCGTCGAGAGAGATTATTACGGGGCCTCCAGAATAGTCAACGATGATCCCTCTTCAATCTCTGCTCTGACTACACTTCAAGTTCAATTGACCTCGGCTGGGAAACTAACAGTGTCTCTGCAGACAACGTCACAGCCAGGCATTGCCCCACTATGCAGACTTGGGGAAAGTCCATCTGACATATATGATGTAGCTCCCGGAGCTGACATCTGGTTATCACCCAGCGGCTCTGTTGCGAGGCTAGTATCAACCAACCCAGGTCTACCAAACGCCTCGTCCCCGTTTCCGACTATGGGAAGCATTGGAATTGAGAGCTTGGGGGCAGCAGGACGCAAACAATGGAAAGTCAATGTGCTAGAGTGGCTAAGAAACTTTGGGCTGCCGATTGATTCTGTTGATGAAACAGCCTGGGTAGAAGTTGAGGTTTGGGAGCCGTTTTACTCTAGGTTAGCTGGGGAGACTTTACGGCTTAATGAGGATAACTCATCTACGCTTCCCCTGAAGCGTGTCCTCTGGCCTGCTGTGTATTGCTTTCGGAGAACAAAGTCAGCATCTCCTGGATCCTCACAATGGATGGAAATTGCTTGCCCGGTGGTCGGCGATCCTTTGGATTTTGCAGAGAATTGGCGTGTAGTGGAAAAGCCAAAGCAGGATGAGATAAGTCCTAAACTACCGTCTAGTCATCCAGAACAGCAATCAAGGATCCCAGAGCCATCCGCTGCTACGACAGACATTCCCGAGGGAATAGAAAGCTTATCTCGAGCTTCTGAATATCCTGATCTCCAGACTGTCAGTCTCGTATATCCGACACCGCCAGATGGAGCTGCTGCAATGGGATTGAGTCTCGCAGGCCCATCAGACACATTTGCTGAAGAGCCAGAACTTGTGCCATCCCTCTTACAAAACCAAATCAAGCCAAAGTACTACGAGCCACTAACTACCAAAGATCGCTCAGAGGCTGACCCATCGGCGGGATTTGGCCCGTTAGGGGGGCTTGCGGTAGGATCTGGATTATACGACACCAATGAGGATGATGATCTCTTTGGAGACATGGATGAAAGAGACTTTAGCACTAAAGGAATCACCGATGCAGATTTCAATTTCTTCGATGACCCTAGCTTCGCTGCCATGGATACAGATGCTCCCGCTGATGACGCTCAAGAAGTTCCTGACATGGTCAACTTAGGGGTTGCCGCGGAACATCCTACTATCTCTGAAGATGCTCTGTTAGAAGACTTCCCAGCTCAGAAAACACCAGCGGAGAATCTTGAAGTAGCCCAAGCAAGTCCAGAAGAGGCAACGCCAATAGTTCAACCCGAACATATGGATGCAGAGGGAACCCCAGTGGCGGCCTCGCCTCATACTGAACAAAACCAAACAATAAGTCCCCCTCTAAGCCCGGTGGAAATCAAGAGAATACTGTTACCAGAACCAAACGGGGACAATCATGTCCCAACCAAGGGCAGCCGCAAGCAAAGCTATTACAACCCAGTTGCGTTCAAACCGAATGTGTCTGCCTGGAATCAGAAGTATGGCGCTGACGGCAAGTTCCGGTTTACAACTGCGGGCCCGTCTGCTTCCAAAGCGTATACAAATTCCGATATTCCAACTGTCGGTATGCCTCGCCGCATTAAGAAGTACCCCACCGCTGGCGCCGGTTTGATGGGCCTAGATGGTCACGCCAGTCCATCAAGCGAAGGTCAACATCTACAAACGCTATCGGATTCCAGCAGCTATACAAGCGAGGAAAGCGATGGTAGTCTTTCGGAAAGTGATGCTCCACCGTTGCTAAGTCGCAAGCGAAAACGTGCCCGTTCTAACTCCGTCAGCTCACCGGCCTTATCTCAGGTGAAATCTCTTGGGGAGGCAGACCACAAAATCCCTGCCCATAGACCTGAGCATTCAATATTTCTGGGAAATTTGTTATCCACATTCTCTGACTGGTCAATGACCGGTTATTTTTCATTAACAGAAAATCGGCTATTTCCTGTTCTCACCCGCAAAGACATGCAGATTCAAATCGCCCAGTTATTTGTCGACCAAATTACGCAGTCCTCTTTGGATCATAAGCTGGATGGTGGCTTCTGTCTCTCCGAACTTGATACCACGGCATATTCAGTTCAAAGTTTCCTTGAGGAAAGTATATTGGGCAGCATTGAAAGGCTTGATTTGAATAGTTGGATATCCCTCCAGGACAATGAGCAAGCGTCTCCTGCACCCAACGGCGCTGTAGCCCGGCAATCTTCTCAACGTAAAGAGATGGGGAAAGGTTCTATAACAAAACTCTCCCCGCCACATTTACGCGTCCGTCGCGGCAAGGAATACTTGGAAGCTCTGCCTCCTGCAATCTCATTTTGGGAAACATTCGGCTTGGAACCAGCCGACGGCCCAAAGGACATCTCAGCTTATTGTATTCATCCTCAAATTGCTGGTGATGCTGCTGATATCTTCCTGGAACGCCTTAGCTTACTCTACGCGAGTTGCAACCTTGGAAAACATGTTCGGGGATGTAGGTCTAGTGCCTTTGAACGGGGGCTTTGCTCATGGGATGTTGGTTCTATGGAGACCGCACTCTTTTTTCCTGCAATGCAGTCCTTAAAAGTAATCTGCGAAGAGCTTGGTATGTTGGTGATCCGGTGAGCAGTATATTAATCATGCACTAACATTCACAGGGACGGCCCTTCTGAAAAGCTCTCCGAGCAATGACAGTCTAGTAATCTACATAGTCAATCCATTTGCACATGCATCGGCCCTCGTCGATATTTGTTCCGCCTTCTGGTGTCTATTTCAAAAATATATTGCCGACACCGGCAAACAACAGGCCCGACAGTTGAATGAAGTGGTGCTACAGATCGTTCCAATTAGCTTTATAATGTCAACAGGCTCTGTGGTCGTCCCTCCACAAACCCAGTACCTTAACTTGGCACTGGAAATCTACAGCCGATGTCCTCCCAAAGCAGTACAGTCGAGTCTCGTGAACTGCGCACCTCCAGTCCTTCTTGCCGAGCCTCTCCCGAAGACGATCAGCTTTAGACTCGCCTCCGAGAAAACCTCACCTTTACAAGAAGGCAAATGTCTTCATATTGCATACTCAAAAAGTCAAGATCAGCGCTGGATATGCGTTGCCTGGTCTGACAACTCTGGGGCACTCCAACGTACAATCTCTTATAATCTACGCTACCGAAATGCCAGTGCGGTTAAGAGCATTTCAGACGTGCGAAGCGAGATTTGGGTAGCTACTAAGGACATCCTAGACAGGATCCAAGCGCGATGGAAGGTTTTCGTCGTGAGCACCGAGCCTGTCGATCAGGACGAGGTTGACTGTAAGAGTGTCCCCAAAATGTCTCTCACGCACTTTGCTAACTTACACTCGCAGCATGGACGGGTTTTGTCGAGCAGTATAACAAGACCAAGTCCATACCTTTAGAGCTGACGGTATTGAGCGTAAACACTGCGCCCGATCTGCACCTTGAACCTCCCTTCTTACCCATGTCCATGAATATCTTTAATCCACAGACCTCGTCGACACCTGTTGCTACACCGAATGCTAGTGGCAACGTCTTTTCGCCGGATCAATCGGGCACAGCGCCTACGCCTCCCAGTGGCGGAAATGGGCCTGCAAATGCCCCAACACCCACAGAACCTACTCTAGAAGCCGAATCCGAATCCGTGCTTACAGACATTTGCGATGAGTCCTGGAGCGTCATACTCTCCCATCGCCTCAACAATTCTCCTCACCTAACCGAGTACCGACCAGCGTTGGCTAGCGGTTACCTACTTCGCCGCAAGGGAGACACCGACGGAGATGGTGTATATGCTATGACTCTCAACCTTATATATACCCAACGACCTTCTTCCTGCGAAACAATTCTTCGAGAAACCCTAGGAATGTACCGTGATCTGGGCACCCTTGCTCGAGCCAGAGGCACCCGCACTGTACAACGAAACACATTACCTTGGCATATTGCCACGGCAGTAAGAGCACAGGAAATGCTAAGTCATGTTTTGTGATTTGTAACTGAATTGATACCATGTTCAACGGCAATGGGTGGCGTTGGAGGTTGACTGGGTTCCTTTTTCCTTCTGTACATAAGCGGCTCTTGTTTGGCGCTCGCAAGATTGGATATACCAGGCGTACTTTTTTTTGTTTTTCTTTTTTTTTATTCCCTCTCTATGTATTATCAATCATTTCTGCATCAGAGCGCCTCATTTCATGTTATTGTTCTTTGCATATGGAGCGGGAAAGCATACCTGGTTTATAAACTAGAGCTTTGTGGTACATCTACTCGGATATATTTTTTATGTACAGCGCTCCATAGAATGAGCTACTCGCTCATCATAACTAACAACAACTGTCTGACAACTTCAATATTGCATGCTTGTCCTTCTAGTATATTACAACACTTCTACTTTCCTTATCTATTCATAGTCCCTCAATTCCATCCTAAACGCCTCTGAACATTCACCATCAACTCACCGCACCATATACATGATCACCTGACCATACTCCGCTTATCATATCTAATCACCCAGTGATATCGAAAAAATCAAAAATTTATATTAACACTTCAAGCCTCCATTGTTCATCTCACAGGGCCATACACAATCCCACAAGCCCTCAGTTCACCGATACCCCCGCAGCGAACATACCTAAGCAATCAAATAACGAAAACCGACACCCCGCGCACCAACAAACACCAAGAAACATATCAAACCCCACCATACAAATCCGCAACCACAAAAGCACCCCCACCAAGAAACCAAATTCTTTCCACACCTACGAATACCCAAAATCATTAAATCCTCACAAAGCGCCAAAATGTCCCAACAACTGCCCCAAGGAAACCAGTCGAACTCCCCCTCCGCCTACCTCGACCTCGGTATTACGCTCGCAATTCACAACTGGTCCGCCCTCACTCTAGCCGTGCAATCCAACTGGGGTGGCCCAACATCATCCGACAAGCGCGATTGGCTCTGCGGTGCGATCTCCGATATGCTGAATGATCGACCGGAGACGGATGCAGAGGATCTCGAGGACGTGTTGATCCAGGTTATGAATGATGAGTTTGATGTGGTGATTGACGATGAGAGTGCGGTGCCTGTTGCGGAGGAGATTATGGAGGCGAGAGGGTTGGTGGCGAAGGGCGATTTCGGTCCTATTAAGCAGGCGTGGGAGGCCTACCAGACGAAGAGTCAGCAGAAGGCTAGTAATATTGCGGCGGCTTTCAAGAGGGGTGAGGATGAGGACCAGGATTCTGAGGAGGATTCTGAGGAGGATGAGGAGGATGTTGATATGGGGGAGGCTCCTGCTTTGGTTAGGGCTTCAAAGGAGAAAGTTGAACCTGAGGTGGATGAGGATGGGTTTACTAAGGTTGTTGGAAAGAAGAAGCGGTGATTTTTCCTTCGATCCTCTTTTCTTCATTATGTGTTTTGGTTGCTATGAGCTGTTTAGATATATAGATACTCTCTGCATGTATGGGTATTGCTTCATGATTTGATGCGTTGATGGATATACGTGGATATCTACATATAATGTAAACCGGCGTGAAACGTCCAAGAAGATTTTTTTTTACCATTTCAGCGAAGAAACAGCATGAGAAACAATCTATAAGAAAAGAAAAGGTTCATCATCATCAACCGAGGGAGAAGTCTATGGATCTTCTCATCCACCTTCTGCCCACCCATACCTCCCTGACCGTAGTCGGTTCGATCGCAGTCGTAACCCACCAAAGGTTAAGAAAGACTAACATAGAAGCAGCCGGGATTTGTTCGTGATTATGCGTGCTTAGTTGTCTTCGTCACTCTTGATGAGCTTGGTGATCATACCAATGGCAATGGTTTGTCCCTGTTAAAGTTTCGTCCAGTTAGCCTTTTATTCAACAAGTATACAACATAGCTACTTACCTGATCACGCAGAGTGAACCGTCCCATTTGGTTGTAGTCCTCGAAACGCTCGACACAGACGGCACCAGCAGTGCTGGTGACATCGAGACGGGCGATGATCGTCTGACCCTTGCTGGCGAAGGGAGGCGGGCGCTTGCTCCTACGGCCTGTACCAGGCTCGCACTTGTGCAGCAGGGAGGTAAATGTAACCTCTTCAACAGCCGAGTGAACGTGCATAACACAATTGTAACCGGCAGTGAGAATGCTCTTCAGATCGAGAATCCTAATCTTGGCCTCAAAGCTTGACACACAGTTCACCAAACGCTTCGGAGAGCAAAGCACAAATCCGGGAAGGAGATCTTCTTCTTCCACACCACGGAGACGCATGCGAACTTGGTCACCGCAAGTGCCTGTCGGGATCTCATCCTCAGTCTCTCCATAGAGAGCTGTGATTTCAACCTTAGTGCGGTTGGGCATAATGATGCAATTACCGTTCTTCTTGATCACACCAGACTCAATGCGGCCTTCTACCATGGTACCCATGTCTCGATACTTCGCGGTAATGGGCATCATGAATGGCGCATTAATCTTACGCTCGGGTAACTTCATGTTGGACAGGTACTCCAAAAGAGAGGGACCATCGTACCAAGGCGTAAGGTCCTTAGGAACACGGTCCTTGATACCGTATGTCTTTTGAGCGGAGATAGGCATGAAGGTAAGATCATCCTTCTTGTAGCCGAGGTTCTCCAGGAACTTCGAGACCTTGACCGTGCACTCCTTGAAACGGGCATGGCTCCATTCCACAGTAGGGTCGTCCATCTTGTTGACAGCAACGACCAGTTTCTGGACACCCGTGTTTCTCGCCAGCAAAGCGTGTTCACGAGTCTGACCACCCTTTTCGAATCCAGTTTCGTATTCACCCTTTCGTGCGGAGATAACCAGAACACCAACATCGGCTTGTGAAGCACCGCCAATCATGTGATGAACGTATGCTTTGTGACCAGGGGCATCCAAAATGGAGAAGTGTCTCTCGACAGGTCCGTCGGGCGACTCTACATCAAGCTTGAAGTGAGCACGGCCAACCTCGACTGTCTTTCCCTTGGCTCGCTCTTCGTTCGTCAAATCCAAAGCCCAAGAAAGATACCAAGTCTCACGACCGGCTTCCTTGGCATCTCTCTTATACTTATCCAGAGTTCGCTCGTCCACCATGCCAGTGACGTACAGGATGGATCCACCCAGGGTAGACTTTCCGGCATCAACGTGTCCGATGAACACGATGTTCACGTGTTCCTTCTTCTCACCGTAAATTTCCTTCAGTGTAGCTTCGTCAACGTCGGCTTGTTGCTCCTTGGCGACGGCATCTGCGGCACGGGCGGCCTTAGCAACTTCGGCTCGGGAAGGGCTGGATCTTCCGGGGCTAGAGCGACCGGACGCAGGAGCAGGAGATGATTTGCCGCTGGCGGCAGCCTTCTGTTCTGCCTTCTTCTCCGTTTTCTCAATAGCCTTAGTGGCTGTCACCTTGGCGGCAGCCTGAGCAGCATCAGCTCCCTTGGAGTCTCCGGGAGTCGCAGATCCTGAAGATGATGTTTTCGACGCAGGAGCAGGGGAGGGGGTACCGATCGAAAGGACCTTGGTCTTGGGGGCTGCAGGAGAGTCACTAGCGCCGCCGATAGACAGAACCTTAGCCTTGGGAGCGGCGGCGGCGGCAGGTTTGGGCGCCGATTGGGCAGGTTGGGATTCAGCAGCCTTGGGCTGCTGCGTAGCTTGGGGTGGCTGTTGAGCAAATTGTTGCTGTTGCTGTGGTTGCTGGTAACCGCCGTATTGCTGGTTGTATGTTTGGTTGTAGCCACCAGGCTGCTGAGCATACGCTCCATACTGACCATAGGCCTGCTGCTGCTGACCATATGGATAACCGCCATAGGCTTGCTGGCCATACTGGCCATATTGTGGATAGCCACCATACCCTTGGAAAGACTGACCGGGCACAAAAGAAGCGGCTCCGGGCTGGAAAGAGGCAATTCCTGGACGGAAAGACGGAGCTTGGGGCTGTGGCCGGGACTGTGCGTTCAAGTTGACGCCCTCAGTCTGCTGGGAGAGTTCATCCTCCCAGGACTCCGGAGTTTGGCCGGCCATGTTTGAAATTGAAGAACAAAAAACAAGGCGAACAAACCAAACACGTCTCTATTAAAGAGAGAAAAAAAGAGGTAGTCTGGGGGTGGATCTAAAAGTTGACGAGTGAAGAGTAGTTTAGATAGTGAGGGGCCTTTGGAAAGCGTCAATTTTGCAGCCGCTGACTCAGCCATAAAACGGGTTCTTTCCCCGCCTTCGCCCAATCAGGGGACTTTTGCATTGTTTGTTTGAAGGGATTGTAGCCACTGGGCAACGATGTATATTGACCATACACTGGCCATTTTGCTATGATATCGTGTACTACTAAGTGGCATCCCATTCTGAAGGAACTGTCAAGAGTGTAGATTTCGATGGCCTACAGTTCGCGCATGGTCTTCTCTTACGAGCATCAGCCACAGACGGTCTTTGTTATCGATAAGCAACGCAAACCCCTCGTGCGTTGCCCGCCCGCCACATACAATACATTTTGATATTGGCAATCAATCTGAGATTGGGCAGCCCAACGGATTCGGAAAGACATAAAGGAAACACACATTGAAGCTACGACGCCATATGACATTGCGATTGCAATATGGATGCGTTTTTGACTAGAGTATGCTCTTATGACTTTAGACATCCAACTTGGTGTGCGATGCCTGAAACTGATCCATCTTTGGTAGCTCACTCACCAGGCTATGAACTATGCCATTCGGTAAGTGTAATGCTTTGAGATGACATCATATGTTTCATAGACTAATTCATTAAAAATGTTAGCTCTGGAATCGCTATAACGGCTAAATATGCCATTCGCCAGTCGTCGCGACTGCTTAAAGTAAGCGATCATCGATCATATTGGTCGCTAGCTAGGTGTTGAAGTATTCGGACTAACGGACTTCCGATGGTAGAATGTTGAGAATGCCGAAGAACGCGAAGAGCTTCTTGTACTACAACAGCGGCTAGAAAGCAAGATTCAGGTAAATCACTTTGGGTGTATGAACTCAGCTAGTCTTAACACATTTGCTGATATGAAGGACAGGTCATTTCACCTGCTATTGACATGATCGAGCTAATGTAGGTAACCCGGAATCCTCCGTATTTGGATGAAGTTCTGACTCTGCCTAGTGCTGCGCGAGGAAACACGTCTCTTGAGTCCGCAGTTTCTCTCACAAAATCTCTTCGGTGGGATATTCAGGCCTTAGGCCAGCGATTGGCAACTGCTGCTGCGTCCGAAGAAATAATTCGAAAGGGGGGACAGTCCTCGAGAAGTCGCTCTCAGAATGATGAAGAGATCAAGTCCATAATAAAGGACATTAGGAGACTTTTAGTGCGAATCGAGGATGCTGTGCCGCTTATGAATCTTGCCATCACTACCTCCGGCGCCAAATTATCAACTAACCTGCCAGCAACAATATCACCATCCCGGCTGCTGCAGGCTAGTACATTTCTTACTGCTGGCGACACCCAGTACTCAATGTCCCCGTCACAAGCGGTCCAGATAGGCCCTACTTTTACTCTATCAATGTACATGCTTTTTGCAAGTCATCTTCGGCCCCATGACGAAGAAGGCATTCGTGAAACAACGTGGAAGGAGGTCATGCATAAAGCACGCGTGAAACTTCGACGTGTGCCAATGGACCTCGCTGTCAATTCTCAAACACAGCTACCGCGCACGCAAATCGCTGCCGAAGCAAGGATAGATGAGTATGTTTATCAACTCCTAATTATAGAGGATTTAGATGATGGAAGAGTCCATACTTTCGAAGAAGATGAGCTTCAACCCCAGACTTTTGAAGGTGTCGTTTCCGCTGGCGTGCGCGAGATTCTTCCAATACACCAGATCTCGAAGATCTTCTATGCCGACACTGGTAAAATTCTGAATATCAGCCCTGATGGCGAGGTTAACAATCCGGTAATACTCCTGAAGAGAGATATCAATGCTATACCTCCACGGCGCATGGTCGAAAGGGATGAAGCATTCGGTTATTCAAACGAGGACTCGGATCAAGACGAGGAGGAAGTAGATGAGGTTCAGGCACAACTGGACGCCCAGTTGAATGGGGCAGGCGTGCCATCCACTTATCCCAACTTTCACGAGAGCTCAGTACCAGAACAATGGCGCCTGCCCAAAAACCTTGACCCTGAGTGGATCGCGTTCGAGGTTTACAATGAGGATGATGAATTAGACTCAGAATCTGATGACGAGAACCCTAGATCCTCAGCTAAGGGCGATTCCATAGATCCAGAGCTGATGGCGAAACTCTCCCTTGATTCAGATGCAACACCATTCAGACAAGGAGCCTCAGGACAGTCGCTCTCCTCTCAACATATGGCTACAACTACAGTCTCAAACCCTCATTTCAATAACATCCGTACTTCTCTGTCCCTCCTAGAGACGCTCCTCCGTCTGACTTCCCTGCAACAATTCCAACAGCAGTCGCATCTATCCATTAGCGATGAGCTCCTGAACTTCTTCTTGGAGGAGTCTTCAACCACTGGAGCTGGTGGAGACGAACAACATCGCCAGCGTCTTCGCGCTGATGCACGCCGCAGAGTCGGATGGGATCCCTACGATGAGAGTCCTATGAAGCGACGAGGTGAAGATTACCAGTATGGCTGGGTCCCTGAAGGCACACCATCATCATACCCGCGTGAAAGCACCGAATTTCCCTATTCTCCTAGCGACAGGCTCCGAGGCTTCCAGCTTCGCTCACGGGAGAATACGCCTGAAACCCCTCCACGATCTCGCCGTAATACTTCTAGACAACCTGACATGAGACAGCACAGTACATTACGCAGCACGCCTGCATATATGGATAGAGGCTCCCGAAGAAACTCTCCGCTTCCTAATCAGTCTACACCTGCATCTGGTGATGATTCGGAGCGTGCTGGACATGAATCAAATGAGGAAAAACCATAGTTTTTACGATAGCAGGCGGGATTGCAGGCTAAATATTACTGTAAATATACTGACCACGACATAGCGACGGACTAGTAATATCATCTGGCCATTTGAAAGGCCTATTAGCGTCCGACGTGCAGAATCTTAAAGCAACATGTATTGCGCATATATCCAGGATAATCAACATGCACAATACGGAACACTTTATATTGATATCACGTAAATCGCTGAAGAACGCAAGAAAATAAGGAGGATCCTGCAACGCCAACTAAGTAGATAGAAAGAAGTAACAACCCTAACTCCTCGCACCCTCGTTACCAAGTGTTATTCGGACCAGCCAGTGGTCAAGTAATTGGTCAAGTTGTGACTATTAAAGGTGCCCCCTTCTATTGACCGGTTCATATTTCATTTTATTTCTTACTCCCAGTCATCATCGCTGTCGTCATCCTTGGCTTTCTCCTTAGGGCTTGCAGGAGTCCGGCTGGTGGCACCACTGACCAAATCATAGCTGGATTCACTGTCAGGCTGGGATTGTTGGTCGTTAGACTTGCGGGGCTCATTGGGTTTCAATTCTTTGTTGTTGGGAGCAGCGCTGGCAGAGCCCTGGGCGACGTTGGCCTTGTTGCTGCCAACTTTAGCTTGAGGGGTAGAGGGCGAATCAGTATCATCATCCGAGTCATCATCCCAGCCAACCTCTTCCTCGTCGTCAACATTGGCACCTTTATGCTACAGTCAGATATCTCCTTCATGGAACGGGTAGCGCAGCACAATCTAACAAGCAGCAGAAGACTTACCCTTAAGAAGCTCCTTGCGCTTCTGTTCTTCAGTCTCAATGACGAGACGAAGGAAATAGTATCGACACCAGAAGGTTGCATAATCAACCTGCTCAGGCACCAGCTTCTCCATAGCAGACCGCAACTCAGGGTACTTCTCAAGATCGGCAGCGATTTCAGTGGTCTTATTGTCCACATTGAACTTCTCCTTGAACGCAGGCCACTCACCGCTCACCGGGTCCTTAGTGAAGCTCTCCATATTGGAATGAATAACATGCAACTGAGCCTCAAACCGAGTAGCATGAATAACCCTCTTTCCCTCCGCATCCTTACTCTCAAAGAGGAGCTTGCTGGAATCCGACTCCGGAGGAACAATGCTAACCGCATCGCGCAACTTCTGTCCAATATTCATCCCGAACCGCATAATAGCTTCATCGGCAGCTTCCTCTGCCTTCTCAATCTCTTTCAGCCGTCTAGCAGCTTCCGCCTTAAACCTTGAGAGGAAGCCCTCTCCGGCGCTAGACTCCCCCTGAGCATCCACCGACCGAGACACCTGCGGCGTAGCAGCCGTATCCCCCTCGCCCGCCTTATCCGTGGCACCGGCATTAAACGCCGTGCTCAGAGATAGACCCCGCGTGCGCCCCACGATACTCTGCTTCAAGTCCGAGAAGCCCTTGGCGGCTTCCTCGCTGGCCGCGGCGTACTCCTGCTTCGCACCTTCGTAGTAAGTCTCTCCCTGCTTGCGAACATTGTCCCATAGGCCGCCAATGCGCATGCCCCATGGGCTCGCGGAAAAGGCGCGGAAGGTTTCCTGCAGCTCGGCGTTCAGGTCGACGTTTGACTGCTGCTGTGTTTTGTTCTCGTCTTGGGAGGTGCCCTCCTTCTTGGTGTCGTTGGAGGAGAGGATCTCCCCTTGGATGTGATCGTATGCTATATCCATGGCTTTTGTTTGTTTTATATATGTGCGCGGCGTAAGTTCAAAGCCTCGAGTCCGGCTGAGTGCTTGATTGCGGAGCTGCGGAGGGAAGCGCCAACAACTTTTGGGTCAGTGTGATTGATCCGTTCCCGGGGTGATAGACGGGCCGACGCCCCGCTATCCGTTAGTTTAACGGATCTACGTGTTAATGCATGCAGATACGTATACTACGTGTACGGCAAGAAGAGAAGATAACATTTTTATAGTTATTTTTATTTTTCATTCATTAGGGTTCATTACTCATCTGTTGTGTATTGATCATAATCTGTGTTCAATCCCGCCTTGTTGCATTACTATTAGATATCTGAGTAAGGCTCTCCGATACTATCCTGACTGCCCAATATAAATGCCGGCAATGGTATACTTTCCATTACACTCGATGTCAGGAGATCGCTTCTTGATAGAATACCACGTGGCTGAGAGCTTCTATCAATATCGGCTTTCCTTTGAAATCTATCTGCAGGTTGTGAAGACTCCACCTGCACGACAGATTCTCGAGTAACAGCACCTCGTTCAATAGCGTCTTTTGGATTCACATCGCTTTCACAACGTACAATAGGTGATGATTCGGGAACAAAGTCTGTCGAACGTTTATCTTGGACTTGGGTTTGAGATTGGGTCTGCGTTTGGGTATAAAGGAGACGGTATGGTGTTGACTGCGGTTCGGAGCCAGTAGCCGACTCTTGCTGATAGTCCGGAAAGAGCTCCGCCATTTTTTGAGAATTAAGCGCGGGTATTGGCTCGAGTGGGAACTGTGTAGCCTGTTGCGGCCTGCGGTAGTATATTGATGCATCAGATGGCAGATTGGTTTCTGATTGCAGAGGACCGGATTCAACATCCAGCCCGGATGGAGGAATTGGTGGAAGATCTTGAGAATCTTCGGTTGGCAGCTCATTATCATCTTCATAAGTGTGGAATTGGTTCTCGGTCACTCTCTCGGAAGGTGAGTCAGGTATATCGAATTCGTTGTCTTGAAAGTCGCCACTGTCGGTCTCAGCGTCTGTTTCATAAACGACAGTCCTCTGCGTAGTCATGGGGTGTTCATCAAGGCCATGATGTATATCATCTCCCTTTTTTAAAACAGTTGTCCCCGACGTAGAGTAGGACTGAGTGGAGCTCGCATTGGTCTCTAAGCTTTCTTTTGAGGTAAGCTTGTTTGTCGGCGGAGGATGGGGTTTCATAGATGGTGGTGTTGAATCATGGAACAATGTTCGTTCCGGATTTTGAGGGGCATCCTCTACTTGGTCGTGGCCAGGAGATTCTTCTTTGATGCGTTTAATGGTTGGTATCGGGGACTCCCGTTTAAAGGGAGAGCGAGTTGCACTACGGAACTGCGATGATGTGATGATTGCGAGTCCGGGACTCTCTGGCGACTGAGAGGAGGGTATTTCCGATCGTCTAGGCTTCCGCGGCGTGACTGGGCCTCCAAATGATTGAACCATTTTGGAGTTTTCGGCTGGTTCCGCCTCCCCATTTGATCGGGCCTCGTCATTCAGCTTCCGTCTCTTAGACTCACTTGAGGTGGCATAGGTATCATTCGGACTGCGGGGCGTATCTTCAGCGCTCAGAGGATGCATATTATGAGATTTTCGCTCATGCTTTTGCGGAGTGGTATATGTGTACTCCAATTTGACATCCTCATCGGGCTCGATCTTCAAGTACCGCCTTACATAGTCCATCTGGGTCAATGTCTTATCTTTCAGCTGCTTGTCCTTGCCCTTCTTGTTGCCCTTGACACCGTCACCACTTTTCCTCCGACCCCGTTTCGATGGGCCATCACCTTGACTAACCACCTTAGACTGTTTAGACCCGACACTATTCGTATCTTGGTCGAATCTGACGCTGCGGGTTCGCGGGGCCCGCGAATTTGAAGATGGTCGATAATCAGCATCATTCCCAGAGTCATCAGCTATCTCGACGACTTCCTTATGCTCCCTGTTACCATTTTTAGGTGCCTCAGCAATATAATCGAGATCATCGTCATCATCTGACTGAGGCTGCGATACCTGCGTCACGAAGTCGATCTGCGTGAGTGTCGGCTGATCTCGGGCACCGGCAAATGAAGCCCTCTTCCATAACCTAAATGTAGAGGCTGAAGATGCGGGTGTTCCGGCTCTCTTCTTTGAAGTCAATGATTCTCTCAAGTTGTCAGATGTCGTTGAAGGACCTAGAGGAGGCTTATCCGGAGTTTGAAACTGTTCCTGACTGGTTTGCGCGTTCGTCCCACTTGTATCACCTCGTCTCATCGCAAAACAAATAGTGAAGATGATGTAGTAAATTGTAATAAGCCATAGAATTTACTGTTGGTTACACAATGGAGAAGGTCTGGTGGCGTTGTCTTAGCTTTGCTTATTATGTCGACTGGCGAAACGCGACTCACGCGTCGCTAAGCCATAAGCGGATGGTCTGTGCACGAAAAACCATTAAACTCGGATGGGAGTGTTGATGGCCTGATCCTTAAGGCAACTTTAACTCATATTGTAGTTGTACGATGCTAACAACCACCTGCGCACCGTAATGGGTAGTATCACGTATCATTCAGGTGTATTTGAGTTTACTTGATGACAATATAATCTAATACTAGTCTGTACACATATCGAGAAACCCGGACTCGTTAATCAGACATGAGCCACTCTGGAATCGCATCTTCATCTTCTGGATCATGCGACAACAGGGACCCCTCATCATTACTGTTCGACCCTCTGTCTGAAGTCACGGGAGATTCGATACGTGACTGTGTTGCTGAAAGGGGTTGAGAAATGACCTCAACACTCGTAGAGGGCGTGTTCGCTGCTGTTGACGACTCAACCAAGATAGGGGTGTTTGACGAAACCCCTTTGGGGATTCTACAGTCTTCATCCCTAGCGACTTCTTTGTCTGTTGAGGCGGGCACTGAAGCCTCGGGCGATATTGTGGCGCCTTGGTAAGGTGTTGTACTTTTCGCAGTGTTCGTATCACCGGACACGACAACAAGCGAGTAGTGAGACGGCTCTTCTCTACTCGTGTATGAGGGGCCATTTGCCACTTCAAGGACTGACTCTTCATCAGTCTTCTGACGGGCCTCATCCTCATCAAGGATGAATCCTCCACCGAGAGAATCATCTTCTTTGGGCGTAGTGAGGCTTTCAAAGTGGCGTTCTTGAGCGACGTTCTGTGAACCAATAGTATCCTTGTTTGGTTCAGGGATAAACCCACCACCGGCCTCTTCTGTATTGTCATGGTCATTATTACTTAATGCAATGCTATCCTCGTCATCAGCCTCTTCGCCTTCAACTGCGTAGCTTTGAACTCTTTCTGCGATGCGAAGCCGAAGCAAGAAGTGTTTCCAAAGCCGAAGCGCTTCGGCCGATTTTTGCTCGAGCTCAGCCTGTAACCTCTGGTCTTCAAGGCAACCTAGGACTTCTTTTAATGCCTCCGCATACTCATTAGCAATGACAACACCCTGAATCACGGCTGTTCCATGGCGCCCTTTGAAATCAAAGCCTGTTACGGCATCTGCGTAGTCAATACCCAAGAGTTTAGCGGCATGCCTAGCATCAGAATGCTTGATATGGACTCCTCCCGGGGGAACCATGCTCGGCACGTAGACATCCAGGTTCCCGAAGGCATTTTTTGGAACCTTCCCTTGAATGACCGATGGCGGTCTATATAGTTCGGTTTGATGATAAGCGTATAAAGCTGTTTCGGTGTACTGTTCAGAGTCCCTCCCATCTTCTTCGAGAGCCATGGCTTGATTCCTATGAGATTGAACACGCTTCAACGGCTGCTCACCAATCTTTATGTCCCGCCCCAACCGAAACCACCTGTTCGCACTTCGCAAAGCATGGACATCGGAGCGCCGGTAAACAGGTTCCAAGACCTGGTTTTTTGACCCTGATTTGTTAACACTAACCTGTCCAACGACACGTTTCGGAAAAATGGTTTCATGACGGCGAAGGTGACGCTCGAGCGCATAGATCGGGTGATCTTTGAAATCTTGTATATTCCGAGGCATAGGCTCTGCAGCAATTTTGGCTGTAAGCTCGCTAATTTCCACTTCATCACGGTCCTCGAGGAAAGGTTTCTCATAAAATCGCATGACCCGGCCCCACCATCTTTCCCCATTCTTGGTAGACTCTACGCGTAGTTTGCGTGTTTTGGCATTAAATGCCTTTGAGTAGCGGCGCGTGACATCTCTCGCCGAAGCGTCTTCCTCAAAGGCAATAACGTAACTCATACAGTTATACGGATCACTTGATGGCGGCTCAAATTTGAAAGATTTTGCAAGCGACTTCGTCACCAATGGGTCAACAGGAACCCACTTCTGCATCGCTTCGTTGAAAGCCTCGACCCAGAATACCGGGTACGATGATTCTCGGATACTAGGGCGTGAGTCTTCAGGTGTCAATACGGGGATCCACATACTGTTTTGTGGTAATACATACTGGCAACGAAGCTCTTCGGTTGAGTCGAGGGTTTAAATTGTGGTCGACCAAGTCGTCTGGTCCTTGACGGTGCTGGCGATGCCACCCGTTTCGTCAAATCATCGGTAGAGGTATCATGATCATCAGACGAGATCACGATAATCTGCCGTCCCGGCTTGATAGGAGTCATTTGTTTGGTTGTTCCAGTAAATGACAATGGCTGTAATGAACAGACGAGCCTGGCTTCCACAGCTACGGAGCGCAGTAGGGCACAGAACAGCTGTGCACCAAAATCACGAGAGCCTTGAAGTGTCTTAGCCTGTTTTAGAAAATCCTCCTTCGATAAGAAAAGCTCTGCGTCTGACATAATATCTTCCTAGGACAACATAAGCACAACCCTTATACTACAGAAATTGACTACAATACCACTCTTTGTTTCAAGGAAAGAGGATCATCTGCCCAATGAGCTCGTTTCAAACCCGGCTTCGTAACTCTGAACCTCTTCAAAAAGGCATCGCTGGCCTGATTAAGTCCGTCAATAAACGTGGTCGACCTTGTATATTGTGGCTGTTCCTGTGAGGGATTCAGAAGCGAGGTCACACGTTTTGTCAACATCTGTTTAAGAAACCTCTGAAGTTTACATTAGTTAAGGGTTAAGGGTGCGAATAGGATCCTGCCGAAGCAAAGGCGCACCTGAATATCTTCATCGTTGCACCAGAGGTTTCGTAACTGGACATGAGATAAAAGACAAAGCAGATGGGATTTGTGGACATGTGATCTCATCTCTCTCTCCGCTGCTGTAATTGGATTCCGCCTTCTAATTACTTTCCGCTTCTGATCCTGATGAGGGTCAAGGGTGATCTGCATGGTCTCGTTTTCTTCAGAAGCAGGGGCTGTTTGGATAGGAGCAGCAGGTGCTTGCAAAATGTCTACCTCTTCCCACTCCATCTCCGATTCATCAGAGGAAGAAGAGTCATACACCGTTTGTACTTGCGGGTTGACATTTTCTTGCTTCTTTGAAGGATATTGATCTTTTTGTTTTGTAGTCTGAGAAGAAGCAGAAGACGCCAGTGGCTGCCCCTGTATCTTTCGTTTTTTTATTGGTCGATCGTTCTCTAGGCTGCCAGGATCTCGAGCTTCGGCTTCTGCCAACATCTCCCGGTATACTTCTGGGACCTCATCATCTTGCTTTCTTGACTGGCGATCGCCAGGGGCTCCGCTCTTCTTGGAACGGGCACGAGTCGTACGAGGCATACTTTCAGCAAGATCTATTCGCAACCATAGGGCAGAGTTTTGACTGGTTAGATAAATAGTTATACGCGTCTCAACGCGTGGATGTGGCAAATTGGGAACTGCGAAAAGTGCCTTGATGACTTCATCGCTATGCTGATTAGAGTGCAAGTAATGATATTCCTCGGCTCGTCGAACGGACAGGCATAAGATACAGCATTAGTTTATGCCTATTTATTTACAAGCATAAGATTTGATATTCTTTTGGAGGAACTTGGAAACCGATTCCAGAATTGCTCAGGGCAACAATGCGTCATCACGGATGTACCGTTGATCCGTTCCGGAGAGGTGTCACTTCCAGATCGGGTAATATTGATTTTAGTCCATCCATCCGTCAGAGGATGTAGCCAACGTTGCCAAGTGGCTATAGGTGCACCTATTGGAGGTGCTTGTAGACTAGTTAGATGTTCTTTCTGACAATAGGCAGCATAATAGTGCCGGAACTCTATAGATACCAATCTTAGCCTTACTTGGAGGCCGAAGCAATACAGTCGAAGATGTGACCTGGTGAGTTCACTATTGCGTCACACAGTTGATCTGATGGTCCACTAGAAGCAGTCCCAACCTACTACAGGGTGACAATTTCGACAAGTTCTACAGAATCAAATATAAAGTTGGCAGTTGAAGCACGCCAACAAGTTCCCCTGGTATTTCCTTTAGATTCTTTGTGGTCGCATAGCAGCCACTGGCACTAGGCATTGCTACAACCTAAGCTATGCTTTCACGAGCCTTGAAAATAACTAGGGTGGTCCCTTGGGTGCGGCCAGTGCTTCCTTGTACCTGTCGGCGCTCCCTAGCACATGTCGCTAATTTGGAAGACTTACCTTCTGTAAGTGACAAATGCGTTATCCCTTTGCTAGAAGGCATTTAATGACACTCGACGTCTTTAAGGAAGATGATAAGCCATTTAGTGTTCCGATAGCAGAGGATAGCTTCGATACGTATCATTTAGACCCGCCTCCGTATTCAGTTGAAATCACCAAGAGAGAACTGAAACAATTATATCATGATATGACATTGATAAGGTCTGCTTGGTCTTTCTGCTCTTTTCCTTTCTTGCCAGACAATATGGTTGACTGTTTTGCAGACGTATGGAGCTTGCCGCAGATGGTTTATATAAAGACAGGAAAATACGTGGCTTTTGCCATCTATCAACCGGACAGGAGGCAGTTGCTGTCGGAATCGAGCATGCACTTACTAAAAATGACAAACTTATAACGGCGTACCGTTCCCACGGGTTTACATTAATGCGCGGAGGGACCGTGAAGTCTATCATTGGTGAGTTGCTTGGACGAAGAGATGGCATCTCCTATGGCAAAGGTGGCTCTATGCACATGTTCTGCGAAAGCTTTTTCGGGGGGAATGGGATCGTCGGAGCCAGCGTGCCAGTAGGTGCTGGAATCGCCTTCGCTCAGCAATACAATGATGCGAATAATGTCACGATCGATCTCTATGGTGATGGGGCAGCCAATCAAGGCCAAGTCCACGAAGCTTTTAATATGGCTAAACTGTGGAATCTACCAGTAATATTTGGCTGTGAGAGTAAGTTCACTATTTCGATACGCGCTCACTCAATGTGCTAACACACTTTAGACAATAAATACGGCATGGGAACATCTGTTGAAAGGGCCTCTGCAATGACCGAGTATTACAAGCGTGGCCAGTATATCCCGGGGTTACGAATTAACGGAATGGATGTCCTTGCCGTCCTTTCCGCGGTCAGATACGGCAAGAATTTTGTCCAAGCAGGAAATGGACCACTGGTCTACGAGTACCTCACTTATCGATATGCTGGACACTCAATGTCAGACCCCGGTATCGCTTATCGAAGCAGGGAAGAATTGAAAGAGCAACGTGCGAATGACCCAATCTCTAACTTAAAAGAGAGGTTGATTGAGTGGGGTGTAGTCTCGGAGGAGGACGCCAAAACAATCGATAAACAGGTGCGAAGCAAAGTCAACGATGAAGTGGCCGAGGCTGAAAAGATGGCTGAGCCTGAGACGAAACTTGACATCTTGTTTGAGGATATATACGTTCGTGGTAGTGAGCCGCAGCAACGGCGAGGGAGGACCATTGATGAAACTTATTATCGTGGTTAGGCGAATAATTTAGCATTTGATATGATGGATACCTAAGCTGATAGGAGGCTAATGATACACAGCTCGAAATGATGAGGATAAGGCTGCTTGAGAATGGAAATCTAGACAACCGAACAAGTGTCAGTCATGAGATAGATCCAGTTTTAAAGTAATCAAATGTGGCACTAAGCCATGCGGATGAGCCATGGAACAAGCGAACCCAGAGCATACAGCTCTGCATCAATATAGCTTAGGTGCCGCCCGTATGGCGTAAAACCCAACTGTATGCACTGGTCGGGAAAACCTACACATAACTGCAACCAAACATCTCATTCGTGGTTAGCGAGAAATGCTGATGATCAATACGCACGTCACTCTGATTATATGGTAGACTGCGAGTTATAATAAACCGCTTGAACACCAAGCTGGGTTTACGTAGCTTGAGGTATATCGATATCCTTAACGCTTAGGAAGATCAACCGTCCTGCATCCACCTTTGATACAGAGTAGCATTAGCCACCAGAACAACAGCAGCAACAGACATGGAGACTGCTGATCTGACAACCCCTCCTACCTGCATCGCCGATTTCTCCCTGATCCCAGTAGGTTTCCGTGTCCCAAATAACGATCGCGGTGGAAGGTCGTGAAGACGACAAAAAGACTTGTCCAAGGGATACATTTAGCTGACGTTCGCATGTTAGATCGGCTCGCAGAACGCCTCATTTTCCAAACAGATCGCCGAAATTCAAGAGCTGCTACAGAAGTCTGGCCTGAAATATCAGATGACTGCCACTGGAACGGCTGTTGGTGAGTTGCTGTCATTCAATAATGGACTTGATCAGAGCTTCGACGAGATGATTCACTCTTACCGATTTATCGGTTCAAGATGGAATTGAAAGATATTAGTGTAAACAGATATGATGAATTTGAGCCACTAATTGAATGATCTAGAGGGACCCTGGGACCAAGTCGCCCGAGTCATTGGTTATGCCCATACTTTGATCCACCAGGAGGGTATACCAAGAATCCAGACAGATATCCGCATCACCACCAGGTGAGTTGGCATTTGACGTGACAAATCTTTGAGAATCGAATCTCTAACTTTTGTATACGCGTAGGACGGATAAGGATCAACCGATGGAGGGCAGTTTGCAGTCCGTAGAGAAAATCTTAGCGACTTGAAAAATGGGCGGAAGACAGCTGTGGTTGTGGAGTATCATCGAAATTGTGTTAGCATTGCTTTCTTCAGGAACCAAATGTATGTAGAGAAACCACACTGGGGGATAGTGTGAAGGAAAAGGCGTGAATTGTATGTAATGTGATTGATGTCTAGTTTTGACACTCTAATCGTTCTCTGGTTGATGATGATGTACTGTACTTTCAAACTCGAGCTTCCGTCTTGCTCGAACGCACCGGGGACTGTACAACCCAGCCATTCTTTTCTAGGAAAATACCTAATAAATTGATCAATGCAGTTTTGGGAAGAACTTTTCGCCGCGGTATAAGAATCTGACACAGAAGGCGACGTCTATAACTAGTAGATACCAGGTACTCGGTACCTTGTGTTACACCCAGATTGGCTCACGACCCGACCGAATGGTCCGGAAGCGATCCTTTTTTAACTTTATATTATCTCGTTACCTGATACTCAATCCGTTTGATTGGCCATTGCAACCTACGACGCACCCACGTCCATTATGGATTTCCGTATTTGTCAATTGGAAAGTTTGATATGAGGGGTAAAACCAAATACCCAGGTAGTATATTTACGTAGTTACTGGGGGTGTGGATATTAGTAAGTAACATATTTGTAGTTAGTGTACAGCACAGAAGGTTCAAAATTAACCACATGTCTAGTAGTACAAATGACAGGAATCCATTACGGTCTCAAGAACAAGATAAAAGACAGTAGATAAAACGCATGTGAGACAGAAACATACTAACAGCAGACAGCAGATTACAATGAAGTTATAGTACTAGACCTGCCTCTAGCTCTAGTCACAGATGCAGGGATTAGTGTTCCCAGTTAGATTTTCGCCTACAGGTTAGAATCCTTGTTAAGAGGGGAGATTAGAGAAAGAGAACCGTCCACGGGTTAATCCTTGCTTCCACCCTTGTTAGGTTCTAGATGCCCCAATATTATATATGCGCTATAGTCTTATCTGGAATTATTATGACAAATTGGCGTTTCTTAATTATTACGGAGTACGTACGTGTAATTCACTAGCAGGCAGCTTGCTACCATTATTCATACCCCATCTCGAGGGACACTAATGAAGAACATCTCCCCATCCTGACGCCAAGTTGGCTCCAGTGCTAATATTACCATCTGTCAAAGGACGAACTAGACGCTCACCTGCATGATTGGCGTGGCGGAGTAATTGCCAGAGTTAAACGAGCAATGACTCAATTAGGTATTTCCACAGCACCAGGCCGTGCCGTAGTAAAGAAAGATACACCAAAATGGCTTCAAACCCCGATGGTCGTTACTGTTGGCGTTAACTAAAAATGGAGGTAATCTGCGATGTAACATATTATTTTTGCTTTTTGACGGGATCACTGGTGGACATTCATGTATCCGCGTCCTATCAACGAGTGCATATGCGTCCCGGCAAGGACAAAATTTGAGAAAACTTTAGGATCCATTGCACTTATGCATGGCCCTTGTACAGTGAATAGGCGGTACCTCGGAGGAGCTTCCGTGTAAATGCTTGGTGGAACGATTTCCCCTCCCACTGAAACTGTTGGATGTGCATATAGACCATGCCAATTGGGGGTGTGCGAGGGAGAATCCTTTCAGCTTGGGTGCCGCTAGCAGTCCCTGTAGCGGCTTCTTTAGCTTCGCTTTGCCAGGTCACTGCCTTGAATCCTCCAGACCCGAGGATCTGGTTATGGAAAAACAAGTCGTATGACATACTGTCGGCTGAAAGACGATCAATTTAGAGATGCTCCCTGAGAGAACTATCTTACCTTCTGGACGTTTCTTACTTTTCTTGACAGGGCCGCGGATCTTCAACGTACTATTCCCTGCATATGGAGGCTGGGCCGGGAATTCCGGCCTGTGAGTTGCTGGCAGCTTCACCTAGTAACCCACCAGACAACAAACAGTATTAACCGCTAACCCTAGGACCACCTCGGGTCACGAGTATGCATGAGTTCCACTATCCATCGCAGTAATCCAATGACTACTTGGGTGTTTTGGATGTGCGTGAAGATCCAGGTTTGTAGGCCTTGGCGATTCCTTCATTGCCTTTTCCCTACGAGGTAAAGAGTAAACCATCATAGCCTTGGGCTCGTGACCGGGTTCAACCTTACTAGGCAAGGTAGACGCCGAGAGTCGAGCCCTCCATGATAAACATGTTCTAGTTATGGGTGTTTAATTGCTAATTGATAGGCGAAAATATGGCTCTTCCCTAAAGAAGTAATACATTGAATCTAACTCGCAAGGACAAAAGTCTTGGTATGAATTTATATACATACGTACGTTGCATACACTCTCAACGAATGCCTGAAAATTCGTTCAAAGTATATTACAGTGTTGTCTACTTAATGGAGTATAGTACGTCGCTTCTACAAGGGTAATCGCACCCTCATACGTGCCTGAACCTGTGGCAGCCCAATGAAGCATATGCTGGAAGCTAAGCAATGGCGCTCGACACGCATGACATACAAGTATAGCTCGGCTTAGCTCATGCATACTTATGTGCCTAGAGATAATATGGATGTTCGAGATAGGCTTTTTGCAGTTCCACCTAATTTCCGGGTAGGTGTATGGAGCACTTGTCGGCCGTCTGATTTAAGGTCGGGGCGCTGTTCGTCTGACTGAAAGAAAAAAAATTTTTTCACCTGCTTCTTTCTCTCCTTACGATTTTCCACCCTGAAACTGGTCTCTCAAAAATGGCAATATCCTAGTGGCTGTAATCCGAAAATTAAAGCCCACCGACGGCTGCTCACGATGGGAATATGTCTTGTGAAGATTGTTAAGGGACGTAGAAGGGACGGCACACAGTGGCACACAAGATGAGAGGGGAAAGATGGGGATCAGACAGCCGTTGAGATGACTTGTCTCATCTACCAGCCGATGGATATTCCCACCATGCAGTAGCCAACATCACTATGCTTTACTGGGAACTAGTAGCAGCACACTATAGACTAGTAGAGTGATGAGCTGGAAAATTCCACCCCCCGAGAGGAATCACCAATGGACTGTTGACAGCACTTGTCTCCACCCCATTGCCCGGGTAAGTTGCTTAGATTTGTCAGAGTTCATGGCCTCTGGGCGGCGTCCACGACAGCCTTCTGCGCCTTGAAAATCTAGTGCCCCTACGAAAGGGTGCTGCAGCCTGCAGTCTTGATTGATGGACGTTTTATCAGCCTTGCCATAGGTAAGATGCTTCCGATAACCTTGTAATTGACTCTCTGTGCCTACGGAGGGACTCCTGAGCGGGTGGCGTAGTCTATCTCATCTTTCTCATAAGCCCAGGGCGTCCGAGGAATTCCCGAGGCCATCATGTCATTGAAAGTTAAAGCTTTCGTGCGATAAAATAGTTATTATCACATTTCACCCTATATTCCTTACGCGTCACAATCGGTAAACGCCGATGCACTTGGGAATTTATATGGGGAAGATTATGGAGCACACGGTGCAATACTCGACACTAGGTGCCGCGTCAACAATATTGCAAAACTATACCCAGTATAACAGCGTGCCCTACGTGTATATAGAGTCACGGTAGTATGGGACTACGTTTGATGGTGGTTCCCCTAACCGTACGCGGTTGGGCGTTTACACTTCGTGCATATATAGTGCTGAATCGGAGGTGGTGAACTCCGCATACAACTTAAGTACTATGAGACTTGCTCTGTAGCATATGTTTTGACTGTATACGTGTCCGTAGTATGATAGCTTATATCAATAGAAAATTTACTTGGACTATAATTGCTACAACCAGGAAAATTCTTGTTTATACTCCGTACTCTGCAATGGATCCACAATCGCCGTATTCCGAAGGCCGCTAGTAGATCCTTAAGGTGTGGTATCTTCTACTACGGAGTATGCAGTATGTGCATCTACCAATTAGCGACAGAAATTCTCTAAAAAGAACCAGTGGAAGCACGTAACCGAGGCCCTCCCACCGCATTCGCGAGCAGTGGAGGCCTACCAATTACTTAAAATTTTAGGGTAACATACCTTCAGCACAGTAGCAATTCACCCAACACTCTTTCAGCTGCAGCATCTATTTCAGCGTAATCGATCTTGGTAAATTTTCGGTTAATACAAGGTAAAGGATATCCTCTTTTTGTTAATCTGCTCATTCCTTCTCCTGTAATACTCTACGGAGTACGGAGTAGTGGATGCCGAATAGGTAAGACCCTCTGGCGACGTGCGTCGAACCAATATTCCTTATGTATGGTACGCCCGGGACTTGAACCAAGGATAAAATGTTCATTTCGCTTGATTGCACTTCTCGAAGTTGTCCCAAGCCGGTACGGGCTTGGTCGGCGGGGCGGCATTCTACAATATTTATCTCAAGACCCCTAGCTGAAGATAACCTGCCATTATCACAGATTTGATTCGTCCTCCTTTGCAAGGTTTTATAATCTGCGATGAGGGATAGAATCATGTCCTACCTATATCATAAATTTTACCTTGGAGAGCAAATGAAAATGGAAGAGTGTACCCCGTAGATTTTGGAGAGTACTCTTCGACGTGGATGTTACTCCGAGGCTTGGAAGGAGTGGATCGATAAAACATTAGAATAATAAAAAAAAAATAATAATAACAATACTAGAAAGCGGCGGAACAAGAATAATAGCCGATCTTTTGAAAAAGTTTCATCTTTTGACCAAGTTACTAACAGTGTCTTCTACTGAAACAGTATTTCAAATAGTGATAATAAAGGGGGGTCTCTCGGCGGAGAAGCTCTGAGAAACTTGGAGTTCAAGTGGGACAGAAGTGGAGGGTAATTCCGTCGGTGTGGGTGGGTCAGGGATCCGACAGCCTGGATAGTGGTAACTCTCCTTCACGTTTGTGTAACCACGGAGAAAATTAAAGTGAAGAGGAAAGGAGCCCGAGGCTTCTTAAAGGGGAATTACTTGTTGGTCCACTTAAGCTATATTTGCTTTTACTTTCTTTCAATTATCTATCAATTTGAATTATAAAGACTCCCATTACAGAGTAAGCATCTACGGAGTATGGTTATCCTGATAGGACAACGCGAAGTACATGCGTAGCGTCGTCCAATGGCTCCAGTCGTCCTACGGAATAAGGAGCGACCCATGGATGGGAATTTCCCAGCAGTGTGGTACCAACAGTCATTGGATCCCGGCTTCTGTTGAAGATCATTTCACTCTTACCTATTTACGGTACTAGTGGTACTGCTCTCTTACCACTATCTGGCAGCTAGACACAGTACTTTTGTTATTAGGTAGCAATTATAAGCGTGGCTTGGTCGGTGTGAAAGGACTTCTGGGCCCTCCTCCTTACTAGGTTGTTTCTGCCTGACGTACCGAAGATACAACTTACAAGCCACCACTGATTTGCCCATTTCGTATTGTCCTCAGTTCTCGTCACTGACTCTCCCGGCAGCTTGGGACGCCCGTGCTTTTGTTCCTTAGGTCCTTAGTAGGAGCCGGGGCCAGCTGGCAGGGGTATGGCGGTTACACAAGGAACCTACTAATGGCAGAGCATTAGTTTGTGCTACACTGTATACCAAACTGCTGGGTTTATGCTCTTTACGCATGGTTAGTGGACCTTTTGCCCTCTCAAGAAGGGGCCTACAAGATACCTCGTGATATTCTCAAGTGATTGTAATGTTGTACACAGAAATTAGATGAACAAATTAAATGTCTACGTCTTGCAGTAGAATGAGTTGACCACCTACAGTAGTTCCCGTTCATCTGGACCGTACACTGCATGAAAGAAAAGTTTCCGAAGAACAGCTTTAGTATGTTCTTTGTTGTTTAAGACTAACCTTTCAAATCTCAATGCAGTGGGTAATTTTCTCATTGATTTCTTATTTTAATTTTTAGTTTTTTTTTTTTTTTTTTTTTTCGCCGGCCGCCGCCCGAACCGTTCAAGATAATTTGACACATCCTGTATTGTATTTACGAATGGCAGATACGCTGTGCATCGACCTGATAGCTCTTTAAGTTTTTTTGTTTTTTTCCCCCTCTTTTTTTTTTTTAAAAAAAAAAAAAGAAATAAATATATAACTAAATAAAATTTTAAACGTTGCGCCCCTTGCCAATTCCTGGTTGAAAAGTCCTTAATGAAATGGACAAGAATTATCCAAGAATTATTGGCATGGTCGTCATCTTTGTAAATGTCTCCTGAGCCTATTACTATTACAAAGTGGTTTTCTTCGCTCATATCCTTTTAGGTTATGATTAACTCCGTCCTGCTAAAGTCAAACTTAATCCAGGCTGTCGGGTTCTTGGAAAAAAAAAAAAAAAAAAAAAAAAAAAAAAAGAGGCAAAGGCAGCCGACCACTACTTTAGTTAGGTTACGACTCCGTACGGTGTCCGGTTACCCTTCTAAATCAACGGAGTCCCTAACCCACACGATCGGTTCCCCCTGCCTAGACTAGCTGGGAGTAATGGCATGAGCCTACCGAGTACCAGGCTACTTTAAGTATAATTCCTTTTCTAGTTCCGTGGCACTGAAAGTATCGAATTTCACGCTGTTTCCTATGCGCGTGCTGCACTGCATATGGTGATAATCATAACTGGGATCGTCATTATTCCTCATCAATACCATTCCTATCACCAGTCTTCTTGTAAAAATTGATCACCAATAAGCCGTTGAGTTTGGCTCCTATCTCTTTGTCTCTTCCTTCAACTGATCCTCCCGGTTGTTTGATTTTGAAAACTATCAGCCACCCCACTCAAGGCCAGCCTGATAGCCCCAGAGCGCGGAGCCATCAGTATGGGTGCAAGGCCGACTGTAAGCCTTTCCCTTTCTAAAATTTACCATAGTACCTTGGTTTCACTGTCAGCTTGTTAAAGTAACAGCTGCTTTCCCATAATTTCAGCCCTTGTCAACTTGCTTTCCTCCACTCGAATGACACTAACCAACAATGTCTCAGGAATCCAGTCGTGACTAGTAAGTCTCTACTATTTGCTTCATAATGCCTGTCCAATTCCGCCGTGGATAAAATAGAGCTGAGTTGGTTGGAAGTTTGGAACTAACAGCTGTAAACAGTGACACTCAGTCATTGACGGCAAGTGTAACAGACTACCCCATTGAGAATGGCAGACGATACCATAAGTACCATGAAGGATGTATGTTGTCTGTTGGATAAAATGCTGTTTCTGGCTCTCTGACTGACATTCTCAGCGTATATATACCCGAATGACGAACAGGAACTGGACCGGTTGGACATGCAACACCATATGATAAAAATGGTCAACGGTGGACGCCTGTTCTTCGCTCCACTAGAACATCCTAAGCGAATTCTTGATATTGGCACCGGCTCTGGAATATGGCCCATCGAGATGGGTAAGTATTTTCATCCGTTTCTCCGCGCCATTTTTGAGCGGTCCCTTATCATTTTCGCCCTACATAGCGCCCATCTTCCCAGAAGCCGAGATTATAGGCACCGATCTTTCACCCGTGCAACCAACCGAAGTTCCCGAAAACGTTCACTTTCTAGTGGATGATGCCACCGAAGATGAGTGGTTATGGGGCCCCAACCACTTTGACCTCATACACACTGGGCACATGTCAGGGTCTTTACCCTCATTTAAAGAACTCCTACGCAAGGCTTTTAATCACCTGAAGCCAGGAGGTTATATGGAATGTCATGAATTCGACCCGAAACCAAAGTGCGATGATGGTACAATGCCACCGGACGACCCTGAAAAATTCAGTGAATTTGCTTTGCAAGACTGGTGTGATTTGAACGTTCGCTCCGGCCAGATCACAGATCCGCCACGGCAGTTTCGTGTAGCTCACCGAATTGCACGTTGGATGAGAGAAGTTGGGTTTGAGGATGTACAAGAACGCATCAAGAAAGTTCCGAACAACCCATGGCCTACCGACCCACGCATGAGAGAAATCGGCAAGTGGAATGAGACAAATTGGCTGGAAGCCCTATCGGGATGGTCCTACAAACCTCTTATTGCCTTAGGCTGGTCGAAGCCTGAAATCGAGGTATTCCTGGTCGACGTCAGGAAAAGTATCCAGAACCGTGACGTTCACAGTTACTTGGACTTTTTTGTCGTGACAGGAAGAAAGCCACTGCCAGGGGAGCAAAAACCATAATGCATTGCCTCACCGCTTCTCCCAAGTCCCCATTTCATATACATTTTTGTCTTTTCTTTCACTTTGTTGGCTTTATTGGCGTGCATTAGCATAAGATACCATTGACTGAAAAAAAGTTATGCATGAGAAGGCGTGTAGGGCTCTCTTCCACTTCCTTCATTGTTGATTTTCTCCTCCACTTTGCTTTTCTCTCCAGTTTCTCTTTGAATATGTCAATTTTCCTTCATTGCTAAATATACCCCATGGTTAAGAGAGCATCCGAGCTGGAGACTGCCAATAAGCAGTAACTAGCTTAAGACTAGGAAGACAAGTGGATGGACGGATTTATATATAGACTCATAAAGGCTATGTCTTATCTGCTAATACTTTGCAATATAAGACGACCAACTCGGTCATTCTACTCAGAACATCCAAGGCAGCATCCATCGAGGTGTCCATGTAAGGGCGCAGGAGCGTACTACCGCAACCTGAGGTATGTAAATCGGGCAATTCTGGTTGGTGCGGACAATAGCTTAGTCATCTGACTAAGGAACTCCGTGATCAACTTTCCTCCGTCAACGATTCTCTAGTACTCATAGCTGTCGACAGCTCTCGGGCATTCAATTGCTGTCGCATGCTTTCACTCCCTCATGTCTTTCGGTAGACATGCATATAGGCATGCTGTACCGCCTTCCTCACACTGCTTAGTTGATCATGTATGGATTAGCGAAGATTTCCTCGCGTCAACGTTCCGACGGTTCGCAAACGGTCAACGACGCTATGAGAGCCGAGTGCCGGGACCTCTAGAGGCAAGGAGACGGTTGGCGAAGAGGAGGAACACTGCACTTGCTAGTCTAGCAGGATCGGGGCCACTGGATGACATTGGGTGTTTGTTTGGGCGCAATGGACGGGAGCACATGAAATGGGTTGGTGGGCAATCACGGAACGCACCGCAAGAGGCTCAAGGTAGGCGCTGATCGGATAAGAGAGCATATGCTCAATCCAGTTCTAGAAGAATATCTAATATTTTTCAGGGTCAGCTTTTTACGCAATTGGTTCGCCCGCTTATCCTTTACCCTTCTACAATGAGACCGCCGAATCGAATGAACTCGCCAGATCATCTGGGTGGCCGGGATTTTCATATGTAGCCGACAAGGCGTCTCTCGAACAAAGCTTGGCGGAATACCTGAAGGACTGTCAGACGATTGCGGCTATCAAGGATATTGTTCGTAAAATGCGAATCGATCTTCAGCAGGAGCCTGCCTACAGCCGGTCAATATTCGAGCATCTACTGTCTCACAAATGCGCCACCGACGAACTCGTTAGGTTTCTAGATGATCCACATTTAAACACTCGGGGAGCAGGGAACTACCTTTACACAGTGGAGCGTTTCGTTTCTTGCGGGGCGGACCTATCCAAACGGTCAGCTCTCCTAGGCAACGTTACTACAGCACTAGAGCTAGGGAGAATACCTGAAAATGAACTATGCCAGATCATAAAGGTTCTGCGTGAAAGAGTCATCGGTGGTGCTGTGGTGAAACAACGGGACGCGAGAATTTTGACAGCTTACTACAGGGGAATGTGGGATGCGATTGGAAGGTGCAACATCTACGAATACGAAAACCTGGATAAGGAAACAATTGAGACATGGCTAGAAGGGCTAGAGAAGATGGACTTGTACGGCTCTTTTGTCTTGGCAAAAGACATAATCAGCGCGACACAAGATCATTACTGGGCTTCATTGTTCATCACACGATTCTTGAAGTTATCCTTCGATCATAAACCGGATGGAGACTACATAAGCAGTCTCTTGAGTTGCTTTACACTTGATAAGGCCTCTCTTTGTATAATCGCTGTCACCGAATTACTGGCTTCGTCCCGGAAACAGCGTCTGTTTGAGATGTGGCAGGACCATTTACGCCGGCTTCAGAACATCCCCAGCCTCGTTTCCTCATCAGCCTGGAGTGAGTTACGGGTCACTACATCATCCAGTACCTCCTGCCTGACACAAGAACAACGGATAATTCTGCGACTCTGGGTCTTGCGAACCTTTAGCGAGTACCTCCCTGAAGGGCCCCTATGGCGACAAGTTGTAAGGGCCACAGATTATTCTGTATCCCGCCTCCTCAGTCTCTACAAAAGTCATGTGGACAGGGCCAACACTGAGAGCTTCCTGAGCAGCCTCGTAGGGGGGATTCATGACCTGGGTATACCACCTAGCGGCCTTCTGATGCTAACCGTTCACTTGAAGATCGGAAAGCGGATGACAAAAGCGACCCGGCGTACTTTGAATAGGCTAGAGTCGTCAAACGTCTCCCTTCTAGACATTTTCGCAAATGGGGATGCTTACAGGAAGACGGTCCCTCATCTCTTTTCGGACTTCGAAAGGTTGGTCCGGCAAATTAATGTCACAAGTCCTTCATTTGTGGAAAACAGTATCCATATTGCAAGTACGGGTGATTCTCAGAATGTCTGGACTTTAATTCGGCTACTTCGTTGCCACACACCCCTGAAAATCGCCTTGTCAAGATCGTGGGGACCCATTCCAGACCCTTCACAAAAGGCCCTTGTACGCTACTATCCAGAAGCTAGGACCAGTGAGTGCCCAGATCCTCACGCCGCCCTTGATATGGTGCACCTCATTGCCATCTCGATCGCTAGCTCGAAGCAGCTAAGCGCACGCCGTGCCTACGGCCTGATTCAATGGCTCTATCGTTTCTTAGTAAAGCATGGTGCACCCGTGAAGCCCTCCCTTGTGCGTGCTATGTACCATGTTGGGGTGGTACGGTACCGAAGGGAGGGGCTGCGCCTTTCATCAATACAATACGCATATATATTGGATGTCGTGGAGGAGGTCGAAGGTCCCGAAGTCCTCGATATCATGGTGCCGAGGGTTGGCCAATCTGATTCATCTACTAGTCAGCTTGAGTTGCAATGACCCTCGTCTCGTCTTCTCCGAAACTTGAAAGATAATGCAGGAAGCTTGTTATCTGTAGAAATTTCTGAAGTGATTATGAATTATACCCGGGTGTATTTGACGTTATGTATACTACATCACTCTGTAAATACAATCATGCAACTGTTAGCAAATAAGATTCGATCGGTTGAATATCGGTCGGACAACGTGCGCTCTAGTATTCAACACCTACGTCGTGCTAACTACCAGATGTGACCTGTGTATTTCCACCTGTATCTTCGTAGGCTCTTTACTGAATAATACACAACAAAACTATCGCGATATACTCATCATGTAATTCCTTCGTGCGTAATTCAGTGTAATAAAGAATAAGGCTCTGTCAATATCGGTTTACTTCCTAACTCACGAGTCCACCTCCATCAGGTTAGGGTCCCCGGAGACCTCTTCCACAGTGACATATTTCCTCATGTCCTCCTTGCTTATGACCTTCTGGTTCAAATAGGCAGTAGTGCCCCTAGGGAAGCGGTAATTGCGTTCCTTCTGACCACGCTCGTTGGGCTTGATATAGTTCCGCAGGAGTTGCGTGGGCTTATCCTTCTCGATGACACACACGTCCACATTGCTACCCGATCCCAGATCGTTGAAAATACCAGCCTTGATCGCCTCAGCGCAGAGCTCGACCGCTTCCTCGCGGTTCAGGTTTGGCTTCCACGTCGACTCAAAAACGGACATGGCCGCCAACGATCCAGAACCCATAGTCACATACGGAAGTTTATCTGTCGAACCGTGGGCGTGGACTGTGTATAGACCGGTGCCAGTCGGGTCAACACCGGCTACCACCAGATATGCACCAATGTGTCCCTGGTAGCGGAAGAGGTGTTGCTTCAACATGGTCATGCAGGTGATTACTCGAGGGTCCCGGCCCGTTGAGAGGGAGTGCAGTTCGATGTTGGAACTAATCAGGGCGGTGGTGAACTCCGTGTCTGCAGCTGTACCAGCACCAGCACACCAGATCTTAGGCGAGATATAGTGTAATTTCTCGCAGTTCTGTATCCCACCAATTACTATCAGTAAAGCTGCTTGTCACGTAACCGTAGCTGCCGCGGAAGACGGAGGATATGGTAGATGGTCGGTCCGTACCTTGTCTGCTACGATGGGTCCGCTAGTAGCTCTGGTATCTGCCGCAATCTGTGATGAGGGTCAGCTTTAAAGGACAAAGGGTCATAAGAGATCGCTATCAGAATTCTAGTATAACATACCACAACACCATTGTCAAAAATACATCCCACAATAGTGGTACCTGTACTTGTAGCCTTAGGTAGAGGCACTCCCTTGGCGTGGAGAGCCGCGTTGCGGTTGTAGTTGGAGAAGTCAAAGCCGGTCATGGTGTTGGTGTGGAGTAATTATAGATTGTATAGAGAGACAGCCACGTAAATTCAAGAGATCAAAGGTTTCACCCTATCAAACTACCCAGGACAAGTAGAGGATAAGTAAGGTGACGGAAATGAGAAGGAAACAGCTGTAGCTAGTGGGTTGGTGATGGCGGCGAGGTCGAGCTGGAGTGACGAAGCTCCCGCAGCCTGATCTCGGTGCCTCAGGCGCTGAAGACGCCCGGCCCGTGAGAAGCTCCTGCTGTTTTTGTCCGTCGAGATCGTCCGCCGCTATTGCTTTCAATTGCTTGCTTGCTGTCAACTACCATTCACCAAGCCGCTTGGCTTTTCTTGTTTACAACACTCGGTTTCTGTGTACAGATTTCACTCTGTAGTTTATCCATTCTCTCACTCTCTATAATTCTCCCTTCCCTTGAGGGGAGGTATTCAAGATTTTTGCGCGCACTTGGCAGCTTTTTAACCGGAGTCCCCAAGCACTCCAGCGTCGCTCATTTTCATCTTTACCACAGAGCCCTCCTTCTCCCCATGCTCCAAAGAGCAGGGTATCACTAGGCGACCGTCCCCGTTCAATATCAGCCGACTTCGACAGACTAAGAATGGCTTTCAGCTTCGGGGCGTCTAACCCCGCTGGCGGCAATATTCCAGCGGAACTAGGACCTGAGCTCCCAGATGTCTATGCTGAGGTCCGTCGCGCTCCTATGCCCGTCATTGTTTTAGGTTCCCCGCAGACGAACTAACTCTGAATACAGGAAGTCGGATTCAAAGGTGTCTCGAGCGACAGCAACGTCCGATTACTTTCTACGGCTTGGCCTGACGATGCCCTTCCGGCTCCATCATCCTCGCTTCTAGCTGTTGCGCCCACGAAAGGCATCGTCGTTGGTGCAGGCCCGGACTCATTGGCAATTGCCTCCTCCGACGCAGTCAGGAAAGCTATTTCCGCTGTCACCGAAGACAAGGCCAAAACAAAACCCTTCCAACCACAAGCAACGATACCCCTTCCCGCACGTCCCACGCATGTAGCCTTCACTTCAGGCGATGACGCCCTAGTACTAGCCACAGAGAACAGCTCTCAGCTTCTGGTCTACGAAACTACGAGTCTGTCAACGGGCAATGCGCAGCCGGCCTTATCTATACCAACGAATGGAGCCACTTTTAGATCCCTTGCTCCGAATCCTGCGCCGCCATCTGATGAGGCGCATTCGTCGCTCGTCGCGCTCGTCACGACTAATGGTGAGCTCTTGGTTGCCAACCTTAAGGCGGGAAACCTAGTTTCGGGGCCGAATGGCAATGTCTTGAAGACTGGGGTGAGCTCCGTTTGCTGGAGTAACAAGGGAAAGCAACTCGTTGCGGGACTTGCTGATGGAACCGGTTACCAAATGACCCCAGATGGTACCCAGAAAGACTTGGTACCACGTCCTTCTGATCTAGAGGGGAACTGCCATGGTAACGCTCAATGCCACATGTCATAGGTTCTCAATTAGCTAACTGAATTCAGTGTCCTCTATTGCTTGGTTAGAGAACGACATATTTTTGATGGTGTATACGCCGAATGATGCCGAGGATGAATCCGGTCAAACGCCGTCATCTTCTTATTACGTTATCACAAGAAGAAAACAGACACCGTTTCTGATCCAAAAGCTGCCTGAATTATGCATACCTTTTGGAGTCAAACGCGCCCCGGCTTACCAGTTTATTGCACGTCTCAGAGATTATAAGCCACATTTGAAGGATGTTCTAATTGTCTCTTCTACTGCGTCGACCGACGTTGGCCTTGTGACGAGGTCGGAGCAACCATTGGCAAGTGATGATGCAGCCAAGGCCACGATAAATTTGTTCGCCACGACCGAACTTAATGATGACACAAAAAGGGCTTCTCCTCCCCTTACAGACTCCGGTGAGGAGACTTCAGTGATTGGTTTGGGAATCGACCTGAGCAGCACAGAAATTGTTGTCTCTCCCATAGCAGGCGAAGATATTTCTGAAAGCTCAACTCCCTTGCCGAACCTATTGCTTCTCAACAATGAAGGTATCCTCTGCTCATGGTGGTTCATATACTCCGAGTCTATTCGTCAGAAACTTCCATATCATGGCTTGGCCTCCGTAGCCCAGCCCCAGCCCCAGCCCCAGCAGCAGGCGCAACCGCAGCCGCCCAAACAGCCAGCGTTTGGACAATCCGGTTTCGGCAGTCCATCTGCACTGGGGGCACCTTCTCCGTTTGGAAAACCCTCTGCCGCACCGGCTTTAGGAAGCCGCTCACAACCTATATTTGGGACACCTTCATTTGCTGCCCCGTCCCAGATAGGATCCCAGGCGGGACATTCCTTCGGCACTCCGAGTGCAATAAACCGTGGGTCCCTCCATTTTTGTAAACCTAGCTTCGGATCTATGGACGCATCGACCTTTGGGCAACCTTTGGCCACACCTGGGACGGGATCTCCTTCCTTCTCGCTCGGAACTCCGGGTGCTACATCTGGAGGCGGCTTCGGTTCATTTGCTAGTACGGGAGGTTTTGCTGGGCTTGCAGCATCCAAGCCACCGGGGGAATCGCCCTTCGGGAAGAAGGCTGGAGAAAGCCCTTTCTCGAAGCCTTCCGGTCCATCGGTGTTTGGTAGCCAAGCTGATACAAGCACAGCTTTTGGTTCTCAGAAAACAGAACCGGCAAAGAGCCCGTTCGGTCTTCCCACTGGTGGGTTCAAATTAGAACCCTCGTTTAAGGGCGACGGAACTGCTGTCAATGATGGCCCCAAACCGGAGAAACCTTCCGGCGGGCTATTTGGTTCTTTCGATGAGATGGTTTCCACGCCTACTAAAGCCAGCCCGCCTATAGAATCCATGGACGATATGGAAGATGAACCCACCACCACCCAGCAGGAGAAACCAGAGGCCAAGCAGCCAGCGCCCTCATTGTTTGGAGCGCCGACCAAATTTAACACACCTGCACCTTCGTCGCTCTTCGGTACTTCCAACCAACCTCAACAGCCCTTTGGCGCAGCCCAGACGAACAAATCTCCGTTCTCAATCCTCGGCAATTCTGATAAGCAAGCATCGACCCCTCTGTCTCCACCATCAGACAAAACACCCGTTGCCAGCCCACCCTTGAAAAAGGAAGATCTTGCTGATGATCAGAAGACTCCTGGTGCTTCAGAAGAGCCACCACTGCCTCCCGACCCAACGAGCAAGGTCTCCTATGGACCTGGTGACACTTCCGCGTCCTCCAACGTTTCTAAGAGCTCCATCGATGACGCACCTCTTCCTCCTGACTTCACTACACAACCAAAGTCCATTCTGCAGGATGACAGGGAAGAGCCACCGCTGCCTCCTGACTTTACTTTGAAGAGCAAGGAAGACGCTCTCGAGGAAGCTAAACCTGAAGAGGCACCACTTCCTCCTGATTTCACTGCAGCAAAGCCGTCGCCCACTCCTGCAGATGTCCCGGGCCCTGTCCCTGATGACTCAGAAGCAGAAGCAGAAGAATCCGAGAAGGAATATAGTGATGAGGCAGAAGAGTCTGATTTCGCTGATAGTGGTGAGGATGTTGAAGATGAAGCTGAGGAACAGGAGGAAGAATCTGAGGCGGAAACTCCGGAGATATCACCAGAAAGTTCGTTTGGGACTGGGTTTTCTAACAAAACTTCAGCTGGTGGGTTATTCACGGGATTATCCCAACCTAGTCAGACTTCGAATCAACCGCCACGGCAATTATTTGGAGAGGTTCGAAAACCTTTCCTACCTCCAGCGCCCTCGGCAAATCGCGAGTTCCCAAGGTCGCCTAGTCCAGTACGAAATGGCGCCCCAAAGAGTGTGTTCAAGTCGCAAGCTCCAGGCAGCACCCTTGCTGCACGTAAGGCGTCTCTCGGTGATTTAGCGAAACGTGAAAATCAATTCCGACAGCCTTCGGCACAGGCTATTGAGGAAGCACAAGCTCAACAGAAACTCCAAGCGCAGCGACAACAGGAAGAGACACTGTCACTCTCCGACGATGACGAAGACGAAAGGCTTCGTGCCGACCTTGCTCGGCCCGTAGAACCCGTGCCTACCCTCGATCCTTTCCTCCCTCATCAAGACTACACTGGCCAGACGAGTAAGCCAGGTATCCCCGGCCAAATTGAAAGGCTATACCGGGATATCAACTCTATGGTAGATACACTAGGCATCAACGCACGGTCCTTGACCGCTTTTCTTATGTACCAACAATCATCCAGTAATTCAGACTGGGTCAGTGTGTTGCAGGGTGACCACCCAGCAGATCTTCTGGACGAGAAGCTACGTCTTTCTGAAATCGAGCAGCTTGATGATGCCCTAGTCATGCTTGCCGGCGAGCTTGAGAAACAACGAGTCCAAGGGGTGGAGAAGAAACTCGAGGACTGTCGAGAACTATTGAGCAAAGATATACTCACACTGCGAGGCCAATGTGCTAGTATTCGGAAGACACTGGATGCCCACACGGACTCCGCTGCAATCGTTTCCGCGCCACTGTCGTCAGAACAAGCAAGTCTTCAACAGGATCTTCGGACAGCGTCTACCGAGATACAGGCAAGACTAGCAGATTTGGAGTCCGCCGTTTCTCTCCTACGAGCCAAGATTGCCGAGGCCCCTCGCTCTGACAGTGCCTCACGCCAATCCGTTAAACGGCCGACAGTCGAAGCGGTCACATCAACCATCTCTACTATGATGAACATGGCTGAAAGCAAAAGCAGCGATATTGATTTTCTGGAAGTACAGTTGAAGAAGCTGGGTATTGACACGACTGCATCGCCAGCAAGCCGTGAGGGGTCGCCATTTACAACTCCTAAAAAGTCTGTGGGAAGACTCCCTACAACGCCAGGGTCGCGGGGCTCTCTTGATGGTCCCCTCAGTTCATACCACACACCAGACTCCGCTGCTCGCTTCCGCTCTAGCATCAATGGGTCAGCGCGCGCTAGCCGCCTCCGAAGCGTGGAAGGCGTTGGCGATCTTGTCAGCAAAGAAGAGAGTGCGCAATGGAAGGCAAAGGTGCAACGCAGGCAACATATTGTTGGAAACCTGAAGAAGGCAATTGGTGAGAAGAAGTCGAAGGTTAGGAGTGTTGGTGACCTGTAGAGGTGCATGTTTGAAATCTGTTTTGTCTTTGATTCATGATATGAACAATCCTAAAAATAGCGGGATATGGGCGTGGGGAGCAATTGGCTATTTTCTCTGTACATAGCATTAGTCGCTGTTTGATTGGCATATCGGTCTGGATATTGACCCGCTACTGATGTTTCATTAATGATGTGATATCTTTACAATAACCTCATACTACCACTATTGACATTTGATCTAACTAGGGTGGGGAACTGCGGCCTTGATGACTGAGGCGCTGGCACTGACATCATCGCCCGCAAGGTGACATGATTTCATCAAAACAATTGTTTTCTTCTTACTTTCTTCTACCTTTTCGACTTTTGTTTTCCAAGCCCGGGTCAATCTTCACCAGTCCTTCAACATATATAGTTTTTGAACCCACCAAGTTGAATTGGGTCGGTCTTGGAATTGCAACCCACCATATCATATCATACAAAGCTCCAACAACCCCACCAATGAAGATGGCTCTCCTAGTCAGCGAATTTATTCATTTCCAGCTCAAGCCTTCAGTAAAACCCGAGGACCCCTCAAACGAAGAAGGCCAAGCACTACTCCAACTCTTTCAAACAGCTAAGCACCAAAGCGGATATAAAAGCTCAGCATGGGGCAGAACAATAGAGGACGAGAATATTATAGTATGGGTAGTTAGTGAGTTCCCACCATCTTTCCTTCTCCTCTTCCCAAAAGAAAAAAAATTAAAGGAGGGGACAATCCTATCCAAAATAAAAAACGAAACAAGTTACTAAACAGATACCACAGACTGGGCCGACGCGCACGAAGGAATCCAACCCCAACTCCTAGGCCCATACCTCGAACCCGACACGCAAGTGAGCGTCATCTTCACGACACTCACTCCATCAATTACTGAAACCGAGTCCCTAACCACCAACCCCGTCACGGAGCTGGTCGCGCTCACCTTTCCCAGCTCCCTGACGCCCGACGAGCAAAAGAAGCTCAATGCCGATCTGATTGAGTTCCGGGCTGCGCTGACGGAGGAGTTGCCTAAGGGTGGAAGGCCGAAGTCATGGGCTATGGCGCAGGTGGAGAGGCCTGGTACGTTGGACCATGAGAAGAGTCCGTCTGGACAGGCGGTGTTGCATCTTTTGGCAGTGGGGTGGGATTCGGTCGATGTGCATAAGGCTGCGAGGGAGACGGAGGAGTTTAAGAGGACGATTGCGCCTATCAGGGAGAAGGCGATTCCTTCTGTGCCGCCGTTGGGAATGAAGCATGTTTCTTTTAGGAAGGTTTGAAGTGGTTGTGAATGGAGGGAGTGTGAATTGAATTACGTTAGATTGGTGATAATGTGTACAACGAATGTTGACGGACAGCGCTTTTCCATAAATTACAAGTTGGAAGGCATATACCCGAAACGAATCATTAAAGTCACCATGAACAGACGACTTTTGAGCAACGCAAAAAGAAAGCGAAGGGAAAAAGGAAAAAGGAAACCCCATATGCTCCTGGAAGAAATAGAACAGATTAAGCAAGCTCGTAGACTCATTCCTCCGCTTAGATACGGTGCTTTTCGCTTTCTATATAGCAAATTAGTAACGGGATACTGGAGAATGATCCGGGAGTCAAAACTAACCAAGTCGGGAGTAAAGCATATACAAAGCCATCTGGTTACACTCTTGGGTGCCTGTGATAGTCACCAGACGTTCGTTGCTGTTCTCCTGTGGCTCATTGATCTTGATCACACTGCCACTAAGGTGACGGATCTCGTTGATCTTAGCACCACCCTTGCCGATAATAGCACCGACCATGTCGTTGGGGATATAGATCTGCTGAGTCAGTGGTTGACCGGGCATAGCTCCGCCAACAGGGGCGACTGGAGTCGGACCACCGCGTGCGGGAGCAGCCTGAGGGGCACCATACGGGGCAGGCTGGTGAGGGCCTGCGCCGGCATACGGTTGAGGTGCACCGCCATAGTGCATGGCAGGCTGAGCTACAGGGGCGGGAGCGGGTTGTCCATGAAGATAAGGAACACCGTAAGCACCCGCAGCAGCCCGGTTGGGGTGTGGGTGGTGGCGCTTGAACGTATCAGGGTGACCATATTGACCGCCAGCGGGCTGAGGGACATAAGGGACAACCTGCATACCACCAGGCACAGCTCCAGCAGGCCCGCCGCTACGGGTGGCATAGGCAGAAGCTGCCGGTCCACCAAATCGTTCCGTGAGCTGCTCAACCAGCGTCACAGCAACGTAGTAGGTGGCAATGTGAACTGCATCCGCAACACCCAGAATTACAAGGGACCGCTCAGTGGACAATGGAAGACAAGCATCTGAAGCGTTGAGACGAGCGCCAGAGGCCTCTTGGATCTCACGTATACGGCCACCGCCCTTGCCAATGATGGAACCAATGAGAATATGGGGGATCAGCAAACGCAAGGGGTATGTCTTGGATTGGGCAGTGGAGGGAGCATCAAGGGGTTCATTGTTTAAGGTACGAATGATCAAACCAAAAGCCTAAAGCCCAGTCAGCAAGGCCAGTTAAACTTCGGCTAAGTAACAAGGATGCATATAACCAACCTTAGCAACAGCGTCCTGTGGACCACTGACAGTCAAGATACGTTCCACTGCTCCACGAGAGTAATCGCTGACAGTGCACTTGGCGCCGGAGAGACGACGGATCTGTGATACATTCTCACCACCTTTACCAATAACGGTAGCAGCCTCCTGGCTAGAGATTACAGCCCGAATATGGATCCAGCTTGACTCGTCTTGGGGACGATGCTGTTCGGATTGAGCGCCAGTTTCGGCGTGGGACGCAGTGGACTGGATAGGCTGGGTCTCAGGGTGAGTGCCCTTCGCATTAGGAGCATCAGGCACAACCGTATCGTCTTGGCTATCGGCATTGGCACTGGGCACACCTGAGGACTCAGTCTTCACTTCCGCATACGCCTCGGACTCATCGCCTTTTACTACTTTGTCCAAAGCAGGACGCTTGGCCTCCGGTTGATCATTGGGACCTGATGGCGAGGAAGGGTCCTCCAAGGGACGCTTGGTGGATTGCAAAGCTGATGGAGAGGCAGACATATTGCTTCTCGACTGTGTAGTCTTGCTTCACTTACGCAGGAAGTCGAAGTATCAAAATAGCCTTTTCTTTTTTTTTTCTGCTTTATTTGATCGACTATGTACACCAGGAGTTCCCAATAAGACTTGCTGGTGCTGGCGATCGGGAGAGGGAATCTGGTGCTTGAAATGACTAGGAATGCTGGTGGTAATCGTGCACAGTGATGAGAAAAAGTGATGTTGAGGAAGGATAGCCGGTGGAAGAGTGAATATGCTGGGAATCACGGGCCTTGGATATGAGCAGAAAGCTTCGCGTGTGCAAAGCTGTGCTGGGAAAAAGAGAGGAGGAGAAGAGATGATCGGATCGGGCACGATAAAACGGAGAGATGTAGACGGTGATAGTAGTGGTGGTGAGGATTCAGGGTCCGAACGTGAATGGGAGCTGACAGGCTGACAGCGTGGGCAAAGGGAGAATATGAGAGCAAAGTCAAGTTGCTAAATCTTTACTATCCCTTTTCCTCCAAAGAAAACACAACGTTTATGATCGAGTCGCAGGGTGTAAGAACAGAGAGTCTGCCACGCGCCGGGCTAAAAGGGGCTTGAACAAACGCTAAAACAGCGGATAAGAGCCAAGTAATAAAGACAGGCAGTCGACTCCACCGTTGCGACAAAGATGAAGATGCCAAGCAAAAGGGAGAAGGTGACGATGATGGATGGAGGGGAGGAAGTCGCGATGTCGCGGTGAAGAGATGAGGTTAAGGTGTGATTGAGGCGAAACGGTGGCACGGGATCACACTAGCCTGCCTTTGGCATAGTCTACCCATCCGTCATCATCACGTGCGGGGAGGGCATAGAAAACAAGCCCAAGCAATACATGAAAACCAAGATATCTCCTCTCACTTTGTTGTGATTCAAAGAAACAGACATTGATCTAGATCCTGTGGCCTTGCTGGTGTGGATATTCTCCAAGCTTCGACAACCCAACCCGTGTTTCATCTATATCGTGCTGCACCGTCAATCTATCCCTATGGATGTACCTCAGGAGACAGTTGATAAGATCCAGCGTTTCGCAGTGAAACGGGAGAAAGCCGAAGAGAGTTATGATCAACAAATCAGCTCGGCCACTCTCCAGGCGTATAATAAGAAGCTGGATGAGACCCTGAAAAATCTTCAGGACCGAGTTAAACGCCAAGAAGATGATTTGCGCAAGGTATGCAAGCCGAAGAGCGTGCAAATATAGAAACAGAGACGCGATACTGATGCGCGCAACAGCTCCGCTCGGTCAACGCGGTTGATCTTTCTAAGATCGGCGCGGACCCTTGGTCTCGCGTTTCGCAAGTTAGAAGAGCCAAGAAGGCGTATGACTCTCTCCTGGGGTTGGAAACAGAGCTCCCAAGCTCTGGGTCTCCTCTGCCATCCTTGCTTGCGGTCGAGGAGATATCTCGGTTGGTCAAGGAGAGCAAACTATCTGTCACTATGACAGCAGATAAGCTTTCGTCCAACCGCCAGCGCTTAAAAGTTGAAGAGGCTAATCTGCGTGATGCCCAAGCCATCAATGATGGACTACAAAAACGGATAGCTCGTATCCGTGAACAACAAGCCAAGAAGGAGCAGAAGTCGCCGTCCCAACTAGCGCATGATCTTGTCGATCAACAGCAAGAAAAGAAGGAGGAGCTTGACAAGGCGGCGGAAGAGCTGAATGTCTCTCTCCACAATTTTATTGATGAAACATTGGCACCCATGCTCGCTGCAGAAGATCTCGGTGGTCCGACTGTGGGAGATGCAATGAGTGTTTCTGATGAGACGTTGGAGAGGGGCTATACAAGTCATGGTAAGCCCAAAAAGCCGAAAGTTTCGGCAGCGAGCCATGATAGCGGCCAGCGTCGAATAGATGAACTCGTCAGGGGTCAAACGTCTCAAGGAGACAATCAAGAAGAGACCCGGTCAAACCAACGCCAGAAAGCGGCTGCTGAGATGCATGAGCTGCTCGCCGCGTTACTCGACGCAGGTACCTCCTACATTGACCTTCCCCGAGAGTCTGCCGCCTCCCGATTCCTTATAAGAGCTAAAGTAGCTCAATTCCATCCACGTGATGCCAGACGATTAAGGTTAATTGACTTCGGGCGTTCGTTAAACGATTAAAAGGCTACTCTCAATAATTGCTTTTGATGCAAGGTCCAGCTTTTACCAAACCCTAGGAATTACCAACCAATGTCTGTGGGACACATACAAATTAAGGCTATATACGGTGATAGTTGCAATAAGTCAAGAGAAAAAT